CATCCACAGGATCCACAGGCGCTGGCTTTGCTTCGGGCCCGAGTGCTGCAACTCCTGGCTCATCCTTCGGCTGACTTCAGTCGTCTTCTGAGCTGAACCGCTCGAACCGCCAGTAGCCCCGGACCTTCGGAACCTGCTCCATCTTCTCCAAGGACCAGTCTCACTTAAGTATGCAAACCTCCAGAGCTCCAGACAGGGCTGATGCTGTCTCACGCGTTCATAACTCAGATATCCACCTATTTCTGGTGATCTTAGATTCCTCCAAATCTACACCCGAGTTTATCTCGACACCAAAGTTAGTGTAGGTTAATATGTTAGCGCATATTCACTCACTATCATTAACTTTAGTGCTCTTAGCCTGACTCAGAATCTTTATTTATTCACCTATTATTATCTATCTTCATTATCTTACCATCATGTATTGCATGTGTGTTGTACCATCATTTATCCTGTAATAAACAGATCATTATTGTTCTAAGTTCCTGTCTGTTAGTGTTCTTCCAGAAGTGGAGTCCCTGAAATTAGAATTTCGACTTAAGATATGAGACTGATTAATTAAGACTGATTAATTAAGACTGATCAATTAAAACTGACTTGATGTTTGATTTCTGAATTAAACTTTTGTTTTCTTTATTTTCCCACCATTAAGGGTGGGTGGTGCCCCTTTCAACGAGTGCATAAATGTCATAATTTGAGATTATTAATCTTCAGACATTTATTATAAATTCCAATCGCCAAGTATTATTTTGGTGCGGCCTTGTGAGGCTCATTTCAAATCACTACAAGTGCAAATGCCCATCTGGAGCATTGACTGGTCCCCCTGGCTATGATAACAAGACAAGTCCTGATTTATGAGCTTCCTGCACGATTCAGGAACATATATATTTTTCGATTTATGCTTGAGTTTTGTAATATTTTTTAATCTGTTTTTTTTTTTAAAGTCTTCTCGATTTTACCAGTCAAATAAAAGAGGAAGAAAAAGGTTGTTGCCTTGTTGTTGAGTCACTGATGCAAACCAAACTGCCCTAAAAACTCATGTGAATAAAACTCAATCAAGATTTTAGATGTTTCTTTAGGCTTTATAAATATTTTTTTGCAATAAAATCATGATTATCTTATCTTGTTGGTTAATAAATCATGCATTACAGGTAAGACAAGTCAAATTTATCTGTAAAGCACAGTTAAAAACAGCAGAAGCGGACTGAAGTTCTGAACAATACATAGAGCAGACAGGTTAAAAGCCAAAGCACTCACATAGAGAGAATAACAGGAGACAAACAACACAGAAAACTTCAGCATGTAGAAATGGATGACACCTGCCTATACAAAAAAAGGGACTCAAATTCTAGGATGGTTTGTGTCAAGACTTAAGAGTCAATGGAGGGAGCAGACCTAATTGAGGATGTAAAGCTGTTCCACAGGGATCTTGGTGGAAAAGGTGCAGTCTCCTGAAAGTTTAAAATTAGATCAAGGGATGGCCAGGAGGCCCATGTCAGAGGATCTATTCAACTTGGAGGTTGTAAAAGGACTTGGAAAGGGACCAAGGTGTTTATGGCTTTGAACACAATTGGTAGAGCCTTAAAATCAATCCTGAAGCAAAGTGAAAGCATTTGAAAAGAAGCTAAGGATGAGACTGATGTGCTCCATCCTTTTTGGAACCAGTCAGAAGCCTGGCTGCAGCATTTAAGAGCAGCTGCAGGCGGGCCAGAGATGAATGGGTGAACCCACTATACAAAGAGTTACAATAAGTCCTGCAAACATTGTGTTTGCTGGTAGTCTGTGGGCATCTACAGTAGCACCAATGCTATTTACTTTCATGTTGACTGGGCCCCATTTGTAATTATCTGAAGTATTTATCTGCATCATATCTGAATTGAAACAATACGAGTGAGAAGGAGCGTCTGTTTGTGGGCGGGACTTGTTGGAGCAGAGAGGGAGGGGAGAGGAGGAGCTGAGGGAAAAACTGGTTGGGAGGGGTAGTGTTTATAGTCAAGATTTCAGCGCCGCCCGGGTCCTGATGAGAGTGCGTAAACATGAGCACATCACCCCCATCCTTCGCACTCTGCACTGGCTCCCCGTTCACCTTCGTATTGAATTCAAAATCCTCCTTCACACCCATCACTGTCTGCACGGTGCAGCCCCCACCTACCTCACCGAACTCCTTACCCCACATACCTCAGCCAGAACCCGGTCAGGCCAATTGCACCATCTGCGCCCACCCAGGACTCGGCTCAAGACCATGGGTGACAGGGCCTTCAAGGCTGCTGCTCCCCGTCTGTGGAACGCCCTCCCCGACCACCTCAGGGCTCCACAGTCGGTGGATGCTTTTAAAAAAGGACTCAAAACCTTTCTCTTTCGGAAAGCCTACCCGGACTAATTTTATCTGATTTTATCTGCTGACTGTTTTTTGTTGTTTTGCCCTTTTGCTTGGTTTTTACTGTTATTGTTGTCTTGTTGTGCACTTTGAGATATGTTTTTAAATGTAAAGTGCGTTACAAATAAAATCTATTATTATTATTATTATTATTATTAAGATTTCTCCCAAAAACTGGCACAAACTCAGATCCTGCCTACCCAACCTTTAATGCTGGGGACAAATGAAAAGTCTTTGATAGTCAAGAGTGTTAACTGGGTAATGAGTTCTTTAACCAGTTATTTATGGTTTCCACTTAAATGTGTTTATGTTGATTGTTGTTTGTCTTCGATATTCTGATATATTGTTAAAATTTTTCTCTGATCATCTCCTCTCTTTCCTCACACTTGCCTTTCTGCCTAGATGCTGCCTCCTCTCTCTTTTATGAATACCACATGGGGCGTTGGGTTATAGAGATTTCTTGATCGATCATACACATGCAGGCAGGTTATTGAACATGTGTTTGCATGATACTCATACATAACTCATACAGCATTGACATAGCAACATTTTCAATCGACAGAAACATTACTACAGTAAATTCCACTTTCATCTGTTAAAATGACACACTGACACTCTTTGGCTGACACAATTCAATTTAATTAGATCCACAGACACGTATCACACACAATAGTTTGGCTTCGATATAAAACAATTTGCAGTCTGTCATGACATTGTTTGCTTTGGCCCCTCCTGACAGTAGCAACATTTGAAATTATACAACAAGTACATTCATGTTTTGTAAAACAAGTTTTTTTCTCAAAATAATAAGTTGTGTTTGTTTCCATTTTTGAGTCACCTGGACTGCAAGCAGTCACAACACAACACATTCTTCACCTTACCATCTTTAGCTGTACAATATTATTTTTTTAATCAGTATTTACAGTGAACAGTGCCTACTCAGGCACTTGAAACTGAAGATTCTTTCCTTCCATGGTCAAAAAAGCCCACAGGGAATAAACCTGTCACAATAAAACCACAAATTCCAAGTTACTATTCAAAAAACCATCAAGCTAATTGGAGCAGACTGAAGTGTTTTTTCTTCAACATATGGTCATGTGAGTTTGTCTCAAAACTCAAAGGATGAGGTTGCAAGATTGTTTAAGTATATGTTATGTTATTTTATTTATAACGTGTTACTTTTTGTTGGCTTTGGTCACACACACACACACACACACACACACACACACACACACACACACACACACACAAAACAGAACAATTCAGATATTGTCGTACAATTTCTGTGAGCATTCTATAATACTTTCGTTCACAGTGGCAGTTGACTTTCATACATTAAAAACAAAAAAGACAAAACCACAAATACCTGAAATGAGAGTCTAATGCTGCAAACTATCAAAGCCCACCAGGACAAATGTGTTGCAACAGCGCTGAGAAGTTCCATTGGTGGAGGCAGGATGTAAATCCAAACAAATTGTGGAAGTGTTGTGAATGTTAAAACATTGCAACAATACAAATGCACAATCCAAAAAAACCCAATTGCTTAAAGCCTGCACGTGAGGTAGAGTTGGCTTTAAGTACTGTTATTAGCATGGCTGACACTGGACTTTCACCTGCTCTGTGTACACTCTGCCTCCGCCCCAAACCAGCTTAGCTAGCACCCACCTGCTGCATTTAAAGAGCGCAGCGCGGAGCAACACTGCCGGACAGGCGAAGTCACAAGACCAAGAATTTCCCAGGTCAAATTCAGAATAAATGTTTTGCTACCTCCATGATGAGCTCTGAAAACCTCTGACCTGCAGACTCCAGGCCTGGCATCGATCACTATGATGACTTGTTGGTGACGTGAAGTGAGATAAGACCTGGCATCAACACAGATAATTTTCTATTTAAAATTGATCTGCTGTTTTGGTGTCTGCCTTTAGCAAACTTGTCTATCCATTAAAAACCATTTCTAAAGAAAATATGAAAATATGATCCAATTTAACAACTTCTACGTGTTACAAAGTTGTGTAGCTGGGGGAAACTGTCTGTTATAGCACCCCTACAGGTCTGGAGCAAAGACTCTATGTACTTTCTTAATTTCATTTATTTATTTATTCATGTATTTATTATTTTTTACTTTGCAACATCCTGTATTTGCAGACATTTTATCAACACATTTGTTTAAACTTTTTGTACCACATTTTTTTGTATATATGATACATCTCTGTTGTTTTTTCTTCCTTTGATATTCACATCTATATTTCATCTTACTGATGGTTTTCTTCTTCTTTGTGATGGTAATTGTTTTAGCTGCTGCAGCACATTTGCTCTTCAAAGCCACCGTAGAAAAAAAAGCCACGTGAACCCCAGACTCACAGCAGTTCAGATGGAAAGGTATGAGTGACTTTGTGATGACATTGTCATCCTTCATACGCACACGCACGCACACAAACATTAGCTACTCTCCCACTAATGACCATTAGAATTTCATTTAAATCAAATAAAAAAAAATCAAAACAAGCTCAAGGTCCCAGAACCAATAAATAATAGTTTGCAGCTGGGCAGGTTCAAACATTATTTCCCTCAACCTTTTGCAGAGTGAAACAACTTCCTGGTCAGCAGGATTACTTCCTACTCTCCTTTTTTTGGCCTGTGATAAAGTCTGTTAGTCTCCTTTTTTTCAGAGGCTTTCTGCTGCACCCCTCTCCTTCGGACACATGTCCTCTGTGGCCACACTCACACGAGTGGTGGCGCCTCTCTGGGGCAGGAAACAAAACTGCAGGGTGTGTCTGCTCTTCCTACGACCCCCTTTCCCCATCCCGTTGCTATAGGTGACGACTAGCTGCCTGTTCTCCTCAGGTGCAGCGGAGCGGAGCGGGCCTTGCTCAGCTCTGTTAAGACGAGGTGAATCACCGCTGGGGTCACTGCCGTTGTTGTCATGGAGATCAGCCAGGTTCGCTGTGACAATGCTGCCACTTTTGACATGCGGCGTGTGGGTGTGGCGGTACTCCTCATCAATGTCTTTACCCAGCTTCCACCTCTTCCACTTTTTCAGCATCTCTGACTGCACCTGATGGATGAAACGGACAAAGAAGAGACATGCTGTGATCTGTAATGAAGGTTAAATGACACAGAGGGAACTTCATTAGATGGATGTCTCTTGCCAAAGTCTACATTTAAAGGTTAACAGATCAGCAGATGGATGGCATCTTGTCTTCTCCACTTTGCAGATGAAAGAATAAAGTGGGATTGAAACATAGAGAAAGCCTTTCAGTCTGATAAGATCTGGTGTCAGAAACACTGGAGATCAAACAAGACAATTTATCTTTTCAACAAATAAAATAGAGGGGGGAACTGCAACAGTGATTCAACTGAAGTGGTGTTCAACATGAATTCACACCAGCCTCACCTCTTTGTTGACAAAGCAGTACAGGATGGCAACAAGCAGGCCCTGAAACACAAGATACATTTCATTATCAGTAACTTAAAGTTAGTCCCAGTGCTAATTTGCTCTTAATACATAGCACCACATTGAGATTCCTTCTGACAGTCTGAATGAAAGCAAACATCTGTTTAAGAGAACCTATCGTTCAAAACCCTTCTTATTTTTCTTGGGATCATCTTGGCTCTGCATACAGCATCAGCAAAGGAACAAGTATCACATAGTCCTGAACAGGATGCCCGGGTCTCCTAAGCCCTGGCCCTGCCATCTAATTATTCCTCTTTAGATGGGTCACTTCATGGTGGGTCACAAAATACTTTTAAATCTATAATGTAAAGCCTAGTTTTCACATGAGATTCACATTAGAGATGAATTTCTCAAAGATATGGATGCAGCTCTGAATACTGTCTCTTTGACGTGTCCTGCTTACTATATAATTACAAAATGATACCTCATCATATGAAGCTCGACACCTGCCACCTAAAATAGATCATATATCATCCCCCACTTGGCTTCCTCAGGAGAAAAAAGCTACCAATCTTGACATTGGACACTTCCTGTGGCTGCTTATAACTACCCACAGTGAATTGATAAAGGATAGCAGCCTGACCCTGTCCATTTAAGAAGGTGGCTGATGGGTGATGAATTGGTAAATGGAATTGTTTTAGTCTATTTGTGCACATCTAGTTTTATGGTTTAGACCCACTGCAGTCAGGGCCCATCATTATGAACTAATTCCCTACACATTCATACACTGCAGGAAAATGTGGAGTTCAGTGTCTTGCCTACAGGCACTTTGGCATATAACTGGGACTGGCTGAAAGGTAAAAAAAAAATACTACCACTGAACCACAGCCCCCGTATTTAAGTGAGTATGAAAATATTCCCAGAGGAAAAAAAACTGCAGCTGAACATTTAGAAACACTCCTTCCTTGGCTAAATATTTGGGCTAAACTGTTGACTTGAACACCTAGATATACAGGTAAAATCTGCTGGTGGGATAGTGTTAACATCGAGGGACCGAGGGGCTAGCAGTAAATAATACCCTGAACAAATAAACCCAAAAAATTGGTTATCATGCATTCTCATTAAGCTTCACCTCTATAAAACCGTCAATTATAGGTGCTTTACAACCAAAAGCACCAAGAAGTTTTAGTCCCAGGGACCACTCTTTGCAATAGTTCCTGTGGCCCATTGTTGTGTGTTTCCACCGAGGACATGAGGTTCAGGGTTAATGATACAAATCAGGCTGATGACATCTAAAGATGGTATTTGGTAATTAAGCTCCTGGCACAGCTCTTCATTGAAGTCTTTGACAAATTTTTCCTCACAAAAACTGATCAGAAATTGCATTTGCAACAGATAAGCTGTACTGATTATTAAATAAAATAAGGTCACCGGAAATATTTACTCTTGTTCTGTTGCCCTTTGGTTCCTCTACTTGTTTAACTTTCTGTCTGTTCAGTTGGTGTCTGTGTGTAAATTGTATATTTGCCTATAATGTCAACAAAACTGTCTACTTGGTTAGTTTATTGAATTGGGTTATGTAGGATATAATCCAGAATCTCTCTTCCCTCCTCTGTATGTGTCTGTGCTGCTGATATATCATGTGTAAATAAACAACCTGTTTTTATTTCAATGTAAATAAGATGGTCAGGCCCTTCCCTTAACAGTCCTTGGGCCATTAAAAAGTAACACTCCCTGGGGAGGGGCTTTTCAAGGGGTAAATCTTCTTCCCAAGATAACAAGTTTTTTGTCGTATTGGCATTTCATCTACACAGAAACGGCCTTTTGGGTACCTTTTTGGAAGCGTGTCCCAGAGTGACCAAATCCATTTACGACTACCGTTTTGTCTCCATGTGGATGCCTTTCTGCATCTTTCTTGATGCAGGCACCTGTGTGCCCAGCCAAAACAACCTTTATACATGTGCTCAGTGTTACAGCACCACTTACTGGCTTTGCATTTGCACTATCACTTTCAGTCGTTTTCAGTGGTTTTGTGTTTATCCGGATATTCCTGAAATATCGAAAAACTTTTTCAAAACAAAACAGTAACAAAAAAGTAACAAAACAGTCAAGTGCCGGCTCCAGCAGTCTAGAGCTGTGAAGTTGAAAGTGCTAGCAGCATTGATCATACAGATACCTGTAAATCTAACTTTGGCAGCTTTAAAACACAGTATCTGCAGCTCTCAGTCCTTTTTGGGAAACTCTCAGTGGTTCTCAAATGTGAGCAGTCAATCAGTGCCTCCACAGTGGACTACAGTACATTCAGGTTCCTGTTCCTGAGTTGGACATTAGCCACGTTTACATGGGCAAAATTTCTTGATCCGATCAAAAATTTAAGGGATTGGATACTCTGAATCCACCGTTAATATGGGTGCAAAATCAAATAATTCGATCATGACGCTTGTATACATGCACCAAGCTTGTACATGTATATAGATTAGAAGCATTTAGACATGTGCAGAGTTGTCTGATTTCGATAAAACAACCACAGAAGAGGAGCTGTAATTACACCTGCGCTGTCAACAAACCAAAAAACACGATAGTGGCTCACTCTGTCCAGTTCAGGAGTTTTTCCCCTGTTTAAATGTTGTCATTAGATGGAGCCCTTGCGTACTTATTTGACTGTTCTGACAAAGACTGTATGTACACCTTATTATGTTATCGGAGGAGCAGACACAGCACTTGCTGTTGTGTTTTATGCCAGAGTCTTAATATTGAAACCTCCTGTACTGGTCTTAATAAATAAACCAAAGCTCAAGAGTTAAGATCGAGTCAGGTTGGAGAGTTAGGATTGGAATAAGTGTTTACATGGACACGTTTTGGAATAATAATCGGCATAAACCACCCCTCTCAATTGGCATACAATTTCTTTCCAATTGAGCCAAATTGGATCAGAATCTTATGATTGACATGTTTACATGACGCATTTTTATTCCGATGAGGCCTTTATTCCGATTATTTGTGCCCATGTAAACGCAGCCATTGAGCTGATTAGTACACTGTTCACCAAAATACGAGCATGTTCAATAAACCTTTTAAAAAACGTGTGTTGTGAGAGTAACAGTGAATGTAAGTTGGAACTTACCTTACAAAAGTAACTCTACCTGCTACCTGAATCTTTTTTGTCATGCATTGACAAAATTATTTGTATTGTTTTTCTCCAGGACCTTTCATAAGCATATGACATTGTAAGACTATATCAAGTATCAAATACATTTAAACCTTTACATTGCACTTTGAAACGTCCTTCCTTATCTGAAAGTAATGCATTGAGCTTGATTGGAGGACATCAGTGTAAATAACTGTGAGCTGAGATGAGCTCTGACCTGGAATGAGTTTAAGAGCAGATCACAGAAAAGACGAATGAGGCGCAGCATGGAGCCCTTTGGGACTGACTCGTCAATAACAAAGGTGAAGAGGATGGCATGAATCCCGAGCAGAGGGATGAGCGTCAGAGTGGACTTTGCTAATCTGGATCAGAGAGGGAAAAAAGACAGAGGAGTGATCAACCTTTCTTTACCTACACAGGACATACCCCCAGATTACTATCATGTTATATTTGAGAACAAGAAGAGGATTCTCACCTGAACTTGTAGTCAGTGTATCTCATCTGGTGAGCTTTGAGTTTAGACATCAAGATTTTTATGATCCGGATAAATATGAAGAAGTTAATCTGGTGTCAGAGGATAGACAGAGAGGGTTAAAAAGAAACAGACAAGGCTAACATGGGGTATAAAAGTAAAGACTTCCCGAAAAGTCTCATATCTTTTCAGGGGATATGAATGAGCCAATATTACAAATCACTATTAAAATACCCGAGTCCAGGACTTCATAGCTTGTAATTCACCTCAGACTTGTGGACTGACAGCTTGGACTTGGACTCAGACTTGAGCATTGCCTGTACTGGAACTAAGAAGTAGAACTCTCTCACTAAACTGATACTGATGCCTTTTATGACCTTCACAAGCAGATGACACCATCAGCAACTAGACAAATACTTCCTTTGTTGTAATTTTTGATGCCTGAAATCATTGTGAGGAGGTAGGTTCACACCAGATGATTGGCAGCAGGCAGGAGAAAAGGCCCTTTACTGTTAAAAGACAACAGGATTACATTTTTTTCCCTGAACAGGCTATTTTTAAGTGTACCAGACAAGAGATGAGATATCACTTTGTCCACAGGAGGCACCAGAACCAATAGAAACCAAAAGTTCCTCACAGCAGCTTTAAGTATGGCTACCACCATTGACTGTGGAAAACATAGATGTAGTCTCAGTGATGTCGCCCATGTATTTCTGAGGCTGAGTTTTGGAGCCTAGTGGCAGCGGTTCAAATAGTTTCAGTGCCTTAGTCTGACTGAAACTGGATTTGAAAAAATATGTCAACATGTCAGTCCAACTGAAACCGCACTAAATTGAGCTTCTCATAGTCAGACAAACACACATGGAAAATGCAGTTAGGGCTCCATTGTCTTTTTCATGCTTAATCTGACTGAAACTGGCCTTCGCATTTTGAGCATGCTCCAGGGTTTGCATGCAAGGCTTTGGGCTGAAGTTAAATAGCATGTCGCCACCTACAGTTGCGGATGTGTACATGCTTCTGTCAATAATGTGACTTTTGCTTAGTGCATGTTATCTGGAACAAAGACAGTAGTCTAGTTAAATTGCCTTATTGTGTTACAACCACATCTTGACTTAACAGTCAACAGTAACTTATGTACAGTAACAGTTCCTGCCTGGAGGCCTTAAGAGGTGCCAGAAATCTTTGTTTTCAAAGGTTTTACAGCAAATGCAAACAAGAGCAGTGCACTGTTAAGATTTTTTTACTGTAACATTAGCCTCCAAAGTGATCCAACCATTTGGTCCAAGATGTTACCCTACCCGTGACCTCCGTTCCTCCTCTGCCCATCTCCTCACCCATTGTCACGGCCCAAGCATCGAACCTAGGGGGATCAGGCATTCTCCACAGCTGCCCCTACCCTCTGGAACTCCCTACCACCCTCCATCAGACACTGCCCTGACCCCACTACTTTTAAATCCCTTTCAAAAACTCACTTACTTAAAATTGCTTTTAATATTTAACTGTTTTATTTTACTGTTTTCATGTCTCTGTTTTAATATCTTGAGTTTTACGTACTATGTAAAGCGTCTTTGAGTGTTTTTAAAAGCGCTGTACAAATAAAATGAATTATTATTATTTATTATTATGTTTGCTCAATTTACATTCTGGTTAAAGGCAGGTAGGTTATAGATACTTTCGAGTTAGCTGCAGTGCTCGTACTCCAGCAGAATGGGTGAGAGCACCAACATAGGTGTGATTGGCTTATGACTCACGTTGCAAGGAAATGTAACTGCATAATTGGAGTCTCCAGACACTTTGTCTGAATTCACCAGAGTCTGATGTTTATGAATGAAATGTGTTTGCTGCAGATACTAAGTGTCCCACACTGTCAGTCCAGGTTTATACAGTGAATGGTCTGAAGTAGAACAGCAGTCTTTCTTATGAAAAAAATGAAATTAATGATGACAAGTCTGCGAGAATTTCAACTCAGATAACAGGAACCTGGCTCAAACTTAATTCTTCTGTGGTGATTCAACTCAAACACTGAGGGCTTAAAACTAAAGCTAGACTTGAGGATGCTGACTGGACTTCAACTGACACAATTACATACACATACACACACTCACAGACGCACACATTGTGATCCAGTGCAGAACAGTACCTGACAACAGTGGACATTTATTATAATAGCACTCAACTCTTAAGCGCTCCAAATTTGGTAACCAGTTTTTAAACATTGTCTCGACAGAGGTGCACACAAGCACAATTTATTCATTTGTGAGTGTGTGTGCTTGTGTGTGTGTGTGCGCATGTGTGAACAAAGGTCAAACTGCATGGTTGTGTTTGGACTTGTTGGAGGATTACAAATGACATAATGTCTGTTACACAACTTTAGATCAAGTATGTCAGTATTAAGACTCATTTTTTCACTCAGAGCACTCACACAGGGCAGGAAATGTGCAAGTTAACAAATGTTTAAGTGTGTGTGTGTGTGAGATTGTATGTGTGTGTGTTTACACGTACGCCTTTGCATGAGGTCACAAAGGTTGCTGCTGTTTCTCTTAATGTGCACTTATGATTATAAGTGCGTCTATTCATAATGATGTTTGTCTCTATGGGAACAGGGGACAGGAAACACACAAAGGGGATTCCACAAATGACTTCTACGTGTGTCAATGAGCAAGAAAGCCAAAGACGCTTAATAAATCAGATAAACACAACCGTCTAACTTTTTTTATACTAACATTTTGGATTACAAAGTTTAAGAAGTCTTTACCACTTCAGCCTGTATATTGTGTGACAAAATCCCTATGAAAATGTGAAAAAATTGAGCATTTTTTGTTTCCTTTTGACTGATTTTATTAAATATTCTTCATCTGTTTCTCCCTTTCCGATTTCTTTTCCAATAATTAGTACTGACCAGTGTAGGAGAAATGAGAAATAAACAATTTTAAATGACAAAATGTGATGTAAAAATATTGAGTTTTCAATGAAGTTTGTGTTATGGCACATTGCACAGCTTTGTTAGCCTAAAACAAATGCTATGCTACACATTTTGTCTTTCCAGGGAGTTCAGCAATCAACCTGAGCACTTATTTTCACTTAAATCGTGCAAAGTTAGACTGTCAACACTTGAACGCAAGGATGGTTGAAAGACTTCCCTGAATTGTGTTTAAAAATAACACATGTTAGGAAAAAAACTATGTCACCCAAATGGACAAGAATAGATTTCAGCAAAAATGTATAGTTACAGGGATACTTCAATATTTATAATAAAGCATTTTTTTCAAATCTCTCAACAGACAAATGTCACATTGATAGAGAACTACTACTCTTTACAAAAGGTTTGCTGAAGCAGCGTGTAGAGTATTACTATAGCTGATACAGCACCACTGTAGGCATGAATACTGACAGGGGAGACATACAATTGAATTCCCTTTGGGGATCAATAAAGTTCATTTTGTCTTCTTCCTACTTAACCTTGTCAGTGATTGTTTTGTTTGCATTTATAGCTCATATGTGAGTGTCGGAGTGAATTCAGTCTGACTTAAGTTTCCCATAGCACTGAGGGTCTGGTTTAGTTCAGTAAAATGATGTAAGGTTCTGTCCAGTTCCCACATCCTACTGCATCCCACCCTGGGGTTTCACACAGGAAGCGTGCTGGCTCTAAAACAGCTTTGGGATGGCTCAATTCTTGGCATGCATGTCACCATATCAGACCATTTAGACAGCCATTATGGGCAGGGCAGCTCACTCCTTCTTTTCTGCAAACCAAGCGGATTTGGCCAAAAATCCACGGAAAAATGATAATCTTGATAAAAGCAGAGTCATGAAGTGTTGATCAAATAAGATCAGGTTAGATATGATCAAGAATCCCTAATCTCCCTTCCTTTTCCCAAGGATATGACACAACACCAAACTCTCTCCCCTGCTCCATCCACTGTCATATCTTCTCCAAATTAAGGCTCACAGAATCCCACAGAAAAAAAAGCATAATCACCTAAGCCGTTGTTATCTACCTGTTATCTATAAGACCTGTGCTCTTTCCATGGAGGCTGCAATCTTGTACCACCATGTTCTTACCACAGCGCAGACCAGAACCAGTAACAAACGCCTCTTTGTATTTCATGAGTGGTTATGAACATAGCTATCATACATCCCAGAAGCCCTCAGACGTTACCATTGCTTAATAGATGGTAATGGTGAGCAAGGGAGCATTTCAATCTACAATCTGACTGCTAAGTATTCCCATTAACACACTGTACCTTTAATGTGTCTCATATCACAGCGACATTCATTTGAGCACTGATGCATGCGTGTGTGCGTGCGTGCGTGCGTGCGTGCGCATCAGTAGCTTGCTCACATGCAACATCACTCTGGACCTTTTTCATCATCGCCATGATAAATCTGTTGACGAAATATAGTTCAAAGACTGACACACAGAAAATGTTGTTCTTACCAGATAAGCGAACAGTATAGGAGAACGAATGATCCACCAATATCCCATATTAATGTTCCTCTCCCAGCACCTGCACACATAAACACACACATATCTATATATTTTACATAAATATTTTACACATTGCTGTAATTCTTATGAGTCTTTTTCTCTTACTAGTCTGAGGGTCATCTTATATTCATAAATCATGATATGAACTCCGGCAGGCAGCAGATATAAGCAGTTGTATCAGAGCTGCCTTTAATTTATTATGAAAGCATTAATAAGGGAAACTTACTCCTCATTCTCATACAGATATTTCACAGTGATCCACGGCAGCACGAATATGAGGGGGGCACCTGAGAACAATAGAAGAGAATTAATGTGAACTTGAAAAGAGTTTCAGTGAGTCAAGATAATGTCTGTGACAAGTTAGAGATGACACCAATGACTATCACAGTTGACTGATATTTCCTTTAGTTTTAAGCTTATTTCTATTTTACACAACCAATGATACAACATAAAGTCAAGGACTTGAAGAAAGACATTTATAAAAATGATCATAACATTATGACATGGTGTAAAACATCCACTCTGATGACTGTCACTTGAAATGATGTTATCTGGGTTTTATTGTTTCTTTTTCTCTCTTTTGGAGGGGATTTGAAAGCTCCGTAAATATGAATAATGTCTGCCTGTGAATGAAGTCTGCTGAAATTAAAATCCCATCTGTTCAGAAACCTGGTTCTTCTTTGGACATTATCAGCTTACAGTGATTCACTGACGTCAGTGTGTTAATTCAGTTATGACAGCGGCTAGTCTGTGATATCTTGCGTCTGCAAGAAGAGGGGTCTTTTTTCTACAATCAAAACAGCGTTTGATATCTCAAGATGACTTAGTAATCATAAGAGAGCTGAAAACTTGATTAAAAAAATGAATTATTGATTTCAAGATAATGGGAAATAAAGCAATCATTTTAAAAGATGCCCTATAAGGACAAATCAATGTAATTTTTATCAGTCCTTTGGATTCTTATGGTTGAATACTGCTATTAAAATCAGTATTTGATAGATTATCAGTGAATTGTACATGTGTTTGCTGTACAGTGTTTGTGCAAATGTAAACTACTTACAGTTTCAGACCCATCAGAATAAGTAAGATGCCCCACTTCAAACCCTTACAACCCTATTTCCCAAGAGAACCTTGGACCCTTACTACTGCATATCTGCTGCATACTGTGAGAAAAAGAAAGTGAACATCAAGTTTTTTTGACTTGAGAAGCTATGAAAAGCAGTGTGCAGTAAGAGTGGAAGTATTTATAAATGAAGTCCTGCTTAAACTATGTAGTTGCCATGGCATTCTTAACACTCCTGGATGACCTCAAATTAATTTATCTTAACAGAAAGTGAAACCTTGGCAGACAGGAGCTCAAATTTCCCTGTCAGGCAGAATTGCAGAGCTGTTATGCAGAACATAGTTTTTATTTGGACGAGCAGCTCTGGCTTGCAGGGAGGGAGATTTGTTCCAAACATTGAAATCATTATCTCATCTGTCATGAATTGACATCATAATAAACTGTTATGAAGTCACCCTTACCCGTTCAACTTATCGTCTGCATGTCAACAGATTTGAGCTGGGTAAGGATGAAAGCATAGAGCGAAGCTCTTCACAGAAGAGAGTGGTGATGCTTTAGGGCCATCTCCCCACTTAGATGTAAATGGACGCAAACTGTACGGATGATTCTGTGAGTATTATGCTTGAGGTGGAGCAGAGAGCCGAGACAAATGATGTGCATTATTTGGTGTTATCAGTGACTGCAACCCATTTTAAGTGAGTTACCCTTTAGTGATTTTACAGTGTCCTCAACTTGAGTTGTTATACATGAGTCTGTCTTACTGTACCTGCCCACTAGATGCCCTTAGAGACCATCTACACTTTCTGCTTATGTTAGGGCAATCTGTAAAAAGTCTGTATTTGCATTTATTCAAATGTTTAAATTTATTTTGCAGTGGTTTAGAGATACATCAGGATTAGGTCAGACAGCTAAATGCAGGTGGTGAGGGGGATGGTAACCCTGAATTTCCACCGCGTCTGGAACAGCTCCGATCTGGAACAGCGGCCAAATTTGCTGTCCGCCAATTCCCACCAGCTCTGTTTGTGAGGGGAATTTCGTGGCTGATTATAGACAGTGGGAATCGCGAGAACATACAAGAATCCCCGGTTTCACGTGCAATCGCATGATAACAAGTTGTCTCTATAAAGACAGCAAAGTAACCATATAGATTGTGACCCTCCAGAGGAGGAAATCTACTTCTAGACTTCAGCATCAGCATCGTCTCATCCACGGTGTCATCGAGATGAAATGCTGTCTATGAACCTTTCACTTGTTCATCCCCGCCCGTTTGCATGGTGTGAAATACGATCTGCCTGAAACACAAGTGTTTTATTTTGAAAAGAAGCCGGATGTCGTGTTTTGTGCCTGTCCCCAACTTCCTTTCAAGCACAGACCAATCTGTGCCAATTCTGTGGCATGCTGCGGCATCCGGAAAAAATAGAACTCTTGCGATCAGCTGCAGAGTCTAGCAATCTGCAGCGGAACAGAAAGAAGCTAGTGGAGACTGACACATTAACTTGAATCGCTACGATCGGCTATGATCAGCGGATACAGCCTTTTCATAGCTGGTCCGGATGCTGTGGAAATTTGGGGTAAGGTTTAAAAACAGGTGTGTCACCATTAGTCACACAGTTGGTGGCATCATTGCATGGACACCTAAAAGATGCCAGTGGTGAGGAAACTTTAATTTAATCACATTGACAAATAACTTCAATTTAGTGCCTGAGAGATTGAAATGATTGTGTTTATTGATAATTTAAGGCCTGTCCATTTAAAATGTAGTGTTAAAAACTAATATAGTGGCATTGGTTGTTTTAGGTCCGACACATTTAGGATTATCTTTTAGTTCACTTTGTAGTTTAAAGCTGTTCACAACCTATAGATTTTATTAGATTAAATTGAAATGATTAAAAACATTTAAATTATTGATCAATTTTATTAATGACAGCCTAATCCTTTGGTTTATTTACTTTGAGGTTATCAACCTGCTACTGCTACTGGCTACCAACACAAAAAAGAAGTAACATGACAAAAAGCAAGCTGAGTTGTCTCCCGTGTTCTCTTTTGATCTCCAGGCCTTGAGTGAGTTTGGGCAGGCAATGATACTAGGAGAAGGGAAATTCAACTCATCAGCTTACCTGATTAATCCTAAGAAGAGCTGCCAGTCAACACATAATATGCATTTTCTCATTAAGTCGTATGCATCCATTTTAAACCACTCATAAACTGATGAATGTGTTCCTTGGCTATGCTATCTGAACCTCAATGAGTGCATCAGCTCAAAAGCAGCACTCTGTTTGTACTTGTTGAGTTGTGTTTCTTACCCCAGCCTATAGCAAGGTAAATGTAGAAGTACTTCCTCTCGCTGAACACTGTTATCACCAGCAGGCTGTGCAGGTAGATTCCCTCCACCAGAAGCCAGTAGTTGTTGGCCATCACACTGTACTGCATCATCACCATGGCACTTCGACACCATGTAACAGCCTGAGAGATGACAGGGGTGGTTAGGATTTGCACTACAAGCCTATCTAACGTTCAATTTTGGACTTATGATTTTTGCCTCTACCCATGTTATGGGTTTTGACCATAGACTGTATATAGAATGGACGTCGTCTGCCTTCTCACTACGCAAAGCCGCCACAAGAACAGCACCCTCTGGTGACGGGCTGCAGTATAGGTCATAAATCCCGCTGCCTCCACTAATCCCTATGGAGTTGTTGACAAATTTTAGAAATTTATTACACAGAACATAAATTCTACATGTTGACATGTAGATATTGTAAGATTGATTTGTGCTCAAGTCCTCTTTTTTCTGTGCAGCTCGGTTTTTAAATGTTATTAGGGGGTTCATGTTTTCTATGATTGACACTTTGTACAGCCTATGGGTGTAGGAAGATTGCGTAGCTCACCCGGGGAATACACAGTTTGAGCCGAGCGTCATCACAGCGACTCTCCCACCAAATGGGTGCAATGCTACTGCGCAAGTGGTGGTTCCAGGAAGTGGAGAAAATCCTGGAAATACCAAGGACAATTTGTCTTCAAATTCATATGACTACGGAAGGCGGAACCAAACTGTCCATAGTATACTGTATACAGTCTATGATTTCAACACTTTGACAAATAACAACTATGACAAATTTAACTGGAAAGGCAGTTTTGCATACACGGAAATTACAAACTTTACAGTTAGGGCATGAGGAGATATTTTGATGAGGGGTTTATTAGACCCAGAATTCAGTCAGCTTCACTTAAACTGGCAGTTAATAACAAAGGCTCATATACTGTTAGTTTACTTTCTTATAATTGTTACTTACTTCTGTTTTGCAGCAACAAAAGCTCAACAATCAATTAGCAGAAATACTCTGCACCTGCACAGAACTCGCTCATGAGACAGCTGTGACTCCAATATGCCACAAAGTCCTTGCACTTCATTGAAAGCACATATGTGCGGATCTGCTTCAGGTTTTATAGTCTAAGGACCAGTTTTGTTTTTTTATCCCACCTTCTCTGACTCCCTGTCTTTTGGGCTAGGGGAATACTGTATGTTAAAATGTCATCAAATAACATCCTTTAAAATTAATTGGTTAAAATGGACTTAAATAATATAAGTCTAAACAATAAATCCCCAGTGTGTGAGCATGCTATGGAGAAGTTTGACCTTTAGCAAAATGCAGCTCCCTGCTGGAAATACTACTTATAAATGTAAACTGATAATTTACAGATGTAAAACCAAAGCAAGACACTCTTTGCTGCCATAAAATCCTGATACATATTTGAAGCATATCGTTTGACTCATGTTCCACCTGTTAACATAAAGGAGGCAGGGTTAATGACCGATACTAAAGCCAGTCAGCAGGTGGTGGTGGGTTAAGATAACTTAAAAATTGTAATAGAAAACAACTATGCTTTAAATTTTGATACCATATAAGCTCCTCCACAGCTGTGAACTGAAAGATTTAAGTTAACAGTGTCCAAAAATCGTACTCTCACTGTAGATTGAACATGAAATATAAATCTTGCTGGTTTGTGATAATTATTTCCAGTAAATGTAAATGCATTCATGTTAATTTGCCCTAATTCAACACAAAACTTGTCATTTGAGGACACTGTGGTGTGTTTCCTCTGACCGGTATGTCGACTGCAGCTTGTTTGCGGGTGTCACTTCCACTGGTGGGGTCCAGTGTGAGGGTCAGCAGGGCGTCTTTGACCAGGATGGACACAGCCCTCAGGATGAACGAGGCAAACAGGTTCATGTGGATGTTGTTCCTCATACAGTGGAGCTTCCTGGCACACAGGCAAAAAAAATCTTAACGTTTTTTAATTAGTGCTGTCAAATGATTACAAGTTTTAACATGATTAATCACAGGGTTGCTGTGGATACATTTTGATTGATCGCGATTAAATTTTATTCATTTCTAATCTATATTAATTGTGTTTTAATTGGCATGAGGAAAGAGACTTCAGAAAGAATGGAATACAAATGCACTTAACATGTAAAGTAAACACCTATGCTAAGCGTTAATGTGGTCTTTTAAGCTCAAAGTGCTTTGGTGAAAAGAAAACTCCTTTCTGCAGAGTGTGTGCAACACTTGATGTTGGTCAACTGTTCCATCATGGGTTATCTTGTAATCAAATTCCCCATAGAGTAATTTTCCACCTTTAGTCCTTGTAGCATTTCCTTCTCATGTTTTCTTTCCCTCCTTATTTAAACCCGTTTTCTTAATGAGCCTCTTCTTTGTTCTCCAGCCTTTTCCCCTCTCCTTCTCTCTTCTATAAATCAATATTGTCCTTTGTTTAGCGCGTTTTTTTTAAATCAGTCTATCTATTCTTCCCTTCCATCCTTCTCCCTAAAATCTGACCTTTTATGATCCACCTCTGCTTCTTATTTAAAGACCCTTTTGTGTATTCTTTTGTTGTCTCCCTCTCATTCATTCCTTACCCTTTATTTTCTTCTTTCTTCTTTAGTTGTTATCCAATAATTTATTGATTAATTCTTTCTTCTTTCACTTTCCCCACCTTTCCCCTCCCTCTTCCCTCCTCTTATGTTTTGTACCTGAAGGTAATGAGGATAGCCAGGGCCAGTAGTAGAGCTCCAAGGGAGAGGGAGTATCCCACTGTGTACATGCTGCGCAACTGGCTGAGGATGCGGCCGTACTGCTGCTGCAGAAGAGAGAGAGAGTCAGCTTCCTACATCTCTCACACACAAACACACACAACACAATCCATTCAATTTGTTACAGAAGGTGTAAAAGAGATCTAACCAGACAGTGTAATTTAATAATCAAGTAAGCCCCCAGACTCACACACACTGACACACCTCATCAGGGTCGTCCTCACATTCGCTGGTATTCTTTCGAGCCCACTGACCATCTTCATTGCAGACTCTGTAGACACGACCCTGTTGAACTGTTCACACAAACACACATTATAAAATGTCATTTGAGGATGGCCTGTTAACCACCTGCTTCAGAAGTTGATCATGTCCTCAAGAGTGTGATTAACCAATACTGTTCATTGTTATCTTGCTAAATCAAACAAACTGTAAATTGGTGATCTTTTAAGACTATATTGAGGCCACGGATCCAGTTCAAAACTCAATGTCAACAAACGTGCTTTTTTTTTCTACTCTAATTGAGCCGACTGTGTCATTGCTCGTGTGTGGGAACAGCCACGCAAGGTAAAGAGACCCATTTATGAAGCACTAGTTTCATCATGACCTGAGCCAACTTCACCAGAGGTGACAAAAAGCTCTATGAGAATTACACAGTTTCTTATTTTGGGGCATGTTCACACCTGAAAAATGTAGGTGGCCATTCTTGACCATAGTTGCCAGTGTTGCCTGATAATGCCAAGTACTTGCTTCTGGTGGCTTTAATTTTTGGCCACTTTACTGGATACAAAAACTGTTCCATAATTATGTCATAGTTCAGACTTGTTTTTAAGTAAAGTGTCCTAAACTGTCTTTTGTTGTGACTTTCTCCACATGAATGAAAACCCTCCAGCTAATATTGTAATTGACAACACAATCTGTCTCTGTTGACTCAGATCAAACTCAGACTTGAACACTGAGCTCAAATTGAAGAAAGGTTTGGTGACTGGACAACTGGCCAAAGCACAGCTTCAAATTTTAAACTTTGTGTTGCAAAGCGACATTTAGAGCTGAAGGTTAAAGGTGGCTTTAAGTTTTAAATAGAGCCACACTCAAAAGTTGACACTTTATTCAAGCCACAAAACTGAGCAGAACTAACTATGTGAATCTCTGTGTTTAGACAAGTGACTCTTATTAGCCATCTGTAAGTCACCACATGACAGGAAGATCTCAAAAATGTAAAACCACCCCCCCTGTTTTCTATAAACCATTAAATGCATTAGCTTATTTTACACCACTATGCGGTCAGAAATGACCATAGATAGAGAAGGAAATGACCGGAAATGGTATTAACTAACCAACGTAAATGATAGAAGAAAGCCATAAACACTGTCAGAGAGGAGATGAAGTGCTTCAGGTTATCTAATTGCTTGTCATCTCTGCCATAGGAGCCCCAGACCCATCAGTCAGCTCATATTCAGTGTTACTGATGGGAGGGTCTGTAGCTTCTGTTACTCTCCATGATTCTCAGTGACAGTCCTTTATTCAGAAATAGGACAGGTTCTACACGATGAGAACACAATCTTCAATCGCAGCCAATTTAATTAAACTGGATGATGATTTTTTTTTATAGAAACAACAAACAGCTGCACTTAAAGTGTTCATTGATAAAAAGATATTTGCTGTACTGCCGGTATGCAGCGTTGCTCTGGTTGATTGTATGTCTGTCCTTGACTGTTGCTAATGGCAGCTGGGAAAGGAAATGAATTCAACATATCCAAATCCATTCATCAAGGTTGACTGGTCTGATGATGCAAGGCTACTGCTATGGGCTGGTGAAATGGTGATACCATGGGTGAAAGCAGTATGGTTGCGAAAGAGATGGTTCAAATTTGTCAATAGGAGGTGCCAAAAGTTTTCGATAGTGGCTTTAACCCTCATTCTTATGTAATGTGGCCAACGCTAGCATTCACACAGTTTCCTTCAACCTAACAGCCTAGGTAAATAAAGTGGGTGGTCATACTGTTGCAAGTGACTCTTTCCACATCTTGAAGTGTTTGTTTTGTCTGTTGGACAGTCCAAATTTTAAACTCTGTGTGTAGTGCACAACAGAAAAAGCAGAGATGACAGAAGTGGTTGAAGACTTAACCTCTTTTTTTGCCAAAGAGAGAGTTAAATGCCAAATCTCTGTGTCAGAGAGCCATCACACCCACACCCACACACTGTCACACTTTCACAGAGTCGCCAAACCGCAGAGAGAAATTGATGACAAGAGAAAAAAATCTACAAAAGCAAATGTTAGCAGGTGATAGTTGAACAATACACGGCCTTGGCACTGAAGAACAGCTTTTATCACTCTTGGAAACCTCAATATGCTCTGTCAGGAATGACATTCATTTAAAGGTTGATAGTTTCTTCTCTTTCACTGAATGGCAAAGACACCTGAAGGGCCGTGTTACCGTCACAGAGTCGTTTTCATTCACTCCACAAAATAACCTCAAAGAAAAAACTTGGATTGAAAAAGTCAGTTTTTTTACAACTTTTGGAATTATTTTCCTATTTTTAGTCAACACTCAAAACTCTCTGAAATAATGTTTCACAATGAACCCCTCACAACAAGACATGCTGATCTTGTTGGATTTACATGTTTTTTTTACTGTTGTTACATAAAAAAAACCACAATAGATCTCTAAATTATGAGAACAGATCAGTGTCAGCGATTAGTGTCAGTTAAGAAGACAGTAATTGAAGTTACTGTCAGTGATCAACAATCAGAGAGGTGAGGATGAGGGTATCTGGACCTCTCTTTAGGGAGAAAGAGAGGGAGGTCAACTCCACTGATCACACAGATCACACATTTACATTCTGAAAACTCAGACTGTACACGAGTCACATTTCCTGCTGCTTATAGCAAGAGATTCAGATACCATCGATTTAGGGTCCTTGGAGACAATTTTGAGCAGCAAAACAAGCAAAAACACACTGATGTGTAATCAGAGTGGATATGGCCGAGTTTTAGCAAATACTTGTTACACATCACACGCAATCGCAGGATGCATGATGACCTGAAACATCAATCTTATATCACTTTCATGCCACCCCTCACGCATATACAGCTGACATATATACTCTGTATACACTGTATATACAGCTGTGCATGCGGCGTCTATATCAGTGAGTCACATGACTGTAAAACATAAACATGTACACAATTTTGCTCTTGACACAGATACAATAACAAATGATCAAAAGCAAAATGTTGTGTACAATAGTGTATTCCTGCTTAATGCTGTGGGCACACATGAGCTGCTAATGGGACCATGGGTCTTTTATGGTCTGTCAATTTAGGAACAGAAGTTCTTGTAGCTCTGGTTTTGGTCTCCACTAACTCCTATCTGTTTCTAGCAAGGGTTTTTTTTCTGATGTTTATTCAATAGGAGAGCTGGAGAACACCAAGAAATGTTTGGAGTGGAGTGGGGGAGAAAGTGCAGCATAGGGTCACGTCATGGAGCAGCACCAGAAACCACTGCAAAGAGGACCACGACTTCTGTAAATAAGACAGGTTGCTACCTCTCTTGGAAAGTAGGGATACAAAATATACTACTACAGCAAATCTGCAGATGTTGTCCTTCCCATCACCCAACTCCCCATGCTGAGCACAAACACTCACACACAAACCTTTTCGGTACCATGGCAAGAACCATGGGCAGGACACGTTGACAGTGGTTCCTGGAAGTCCATCAGGCCAGCAAGCATACAAGTCAAAGGTCCTGTTACACACCAGCCCTGGAGTGAAGAACAGACTTGTAAAATGTTTGCATGCATCTGGCTCAAACTGGATTTCATGCCAGGGTTGGGATAGGGGACTCACCTGTAGCAGGGGGCGTGGTGTTGATGAAATTCAGACACTGGTTCTTGTAGCTGCTCCACTGCTCCTTCACAAGCTCCAGGGAGTTAGCCAAAGAGACCTGCAGGAGGACAAAAACTCCCTGAAGCTTCCTGACCAGTTTCAACAATGTGTGTGTGTATATACGGGGAAAAAGTCAGAGGAGTACCTTTGTGAAGCTGCAGAATGTAAGGAGAGCCAAGAGGAGACACACCTGGGACATCCCACTGATGCTGGGAGGATGGGGGTCGGTGGGGACCAGATAGAAGAGGAGGCCCAACTCATGAGGCAGCCTCTGCCTTCTCTCACTGTGTGGCCTACACACATGATAAGACAATTGTTAGAGTAAAGAATTTTAATCTTTATATTGGGATTACTTTAGTTTGCACCAAAAATATAAGTGTGGAGGAAAGTGAAAAAGCAACAGTTTGTGACTGTCACAACCATTTTGATCATCAATTCTGAGAGTTCAGCAGATGATTGGATAATTGGCTTAGACAGGGTGCACAGCAGGTCAGAGGAGAGGTGCAATCAGCATAAAATGCTGCAATTACTCCCAGATATAGAACACTTTGGAGCTAAAACCCATGAAACTTCCACTGTAAACAGCAACTGTGACAGTGTGTGTTGATAAGCATGACAGTTGAACTCCAGCCACATCACTTGACCATCTTCACCCACGAAGTTGGAGAACAAAACGAAATCTGAAACGTTTCTGCAAAAAACACCTTGACCATGGAAACATTTTTAGCTAAAACGTTTCAAATTCCATTCTGTTCCAGTCTCTGTGCGCCCGCTGGTTTGTGTCTGGTGATAATGATGAAGATTATGATCATAATGATGATGGCCATACGTCAAATCGCGCGTGTGTGTGTGTGTGTGTGTGTGTGTGTGTGTGTGTGTGTGTGTGTGTGTGTCCACACTACTGGTTTGCTGTATCTGACAAAGATCTGAACATGGTCTTCATGTGATCACAACATGGAGATGATCACATTTTTAATAAAAACCGAGCAAAAAGATGGTGAGCTGCTGCAGTGTTTTCTTAAATCTTATGATGTCACAATGATAATCAGTTTAAAACCATGTGCAGCTCTAAGAGAGGAAGTTTGGATGCTCCAGCAGGTGAATTTTCATGTCATTGATTCTTGTGAAACCACATGTGAGACTAAATTGTGCTGGTATAAAATGTATTGATAAAAAAACACACAGTGTAGGACTTCTCTTTAATTGATAAAAAATCTAGCCTATAGGTTGGAGCCTTATCAGGTAGTTGCAGACTCAGGTAATCATAGCATGCATTGGATTCAATTAAACTGTGTCCACACAGTCCTTATCTGGCAAATGCCCAACTTTTTAAAACCACATTTCCCACAATACGACTGATAACACACCCTAACACATACAATGCTTTATTCAACGTAATGCTCCTATTTACATGTACTGACTTTGCATCTAATTGATCATCTGTAATCTTTGCCAGTGAATTCTACTGTTTCCAAGCACTTTAAAATAAATCAAATGGGCCTCACTGCAAACACGGACTTTGTCCCTTTGTAGACAAAACATCAGTAATTTGAAGTTTAGTTGGAGAGAATTTCATGAATAAAGTCATGTTGTTTGAATACTCACTGAAGAGGCTGAAGCAATGCAAAGAACAAACTGACGTGGGTGCAATCTATGTGAGGGTGCAATCTATGTGAGGGCGCACTAGCACCTTAGAAGAAAGAAAAAAAAAAAAAAACAGTTTTCTAGACTACCGCTCATTTCCACATCAAGTTAGTTAAGTGAGCAGTGGGGCGCCCTTCTTATAACATCAATTTGCTGCTGAGAGTCAGGTTGTGTGTCACTCACTGTCTGAAGAAAATGCAAAGAGGCGAGCCAGCAGGGGATTAATTTGCGGATGGATGATGGATCAGTGTAACACAACACAAGCTGCTACTCAATAAATTGTATTTCATTCATAATATTAAGATTGACCTGCACAGGAACATGTAATTTATTGGGTTATGTGAAAAGGTATTTTAAAGGGTTTAAAAAAACAAACAAAAAAATATTATATGGTCTTCATTAGAAATGCCTCGACCAGAATCCACATCAAATCCTGTGCCTAAGGATGAGCCTCTGTCTACTGAGTCTGACCCGGCTAGTTGGTCCTCAGTTCTGACTGAAAAAAATTGGACACAGCAGATTTGCAGAGGACCAAGTGGAGTACACTGTTAACCAAGATTTTGTAAACTTTTTTACCAATTATTACTTATTTTATGTTTTGTAAAAAAACGTTGCCATGACTGAATCCAATTACTTGTTTGTACTTTTCAACTGAAAAATGCAATGTAATGACCATGCGAAGCAGAGATGGCCTAATATGTTGAGTTTTGTCAGGGGGTAGGGCTATTCCAACCAGGCAAGGAGCTCACACGAGGTCTTAGACTCCTCCTTGTCGTGGCTGTGACTGTGGAAATGACTACACCAAGTGGCACGGCGAGTGTGTAAAATACATATTTGAAACATTAGTTATCTTTATGGTAAACCTTTGTTGGCTAACGTCACTCAAAAGACCTGGCTGTCGACAGCTGTTGATACAGCTTTCACAACAGACCAGGATTGGTCAATAAGCTATGATGAATTTGTATTGTTTTTACTTCTTTTGTAATGACAACACAACACAGTTCTACTTTATTGCTGTCGGTGTGAATTATATTAACATAAATTATAATTAGATCATGGATTTCTTACCATTCTCACCATATAACTTGTTTTGTAATTTTTCTCCTCAAAAGACTACAGAGCCAGCTGAGGTTCAGACACTGGTGCTCAGAGGACTGTCTTGGTGACAACCCTACAAACTTCTACAAAGCGTGCTGTGTTAGTAAGCCCTTACATTCTTATAGTTAGGGTTATTGGGATATTTCTGAAAGGCCGCAGCCACCGTTGTCAACAGCAAGCCAAGGTTTTTAATGACAACGCTGACGGCACGCTCCTTTCCGCACATGTGCATGGCCCATGTTAAAGGCATATTAGGCATAAAATTAAGTTAGGGTCAAACACACCGTAACACTGAGTCAGACACCCCTCGAGAGATGAATGTTGCCGACCGCTTGCTTCTCTAGTTATACCAACTTTAGTAACAACCACAGATAGCAATACAGAGAGCCACGCACTCAACCAAAAAGCCACTCTGTAGCCACAAATAACCCTCAGAACAGCATCTAACTTCATCAACAGTACATACAGGGTCCAAGTCATAGCACTAGCCACATATCATCTTTTTAGCTTTTCCTGATTTCTTTAGCAAAGAGACTAAACACACTCTCTTCCAGCTGCCGCATGCGACATTTGTTGGAAGCGAGTCTTCACTAGTATTTTCATTTTCCCCAACAGGAATTTATCCACATGCATCTTTATTTCAGGTGCTCTGTTGCTCTACCTTGAGTAATCCTCACTTTATTTATTTAATTGCAGAGTTCACAGAATTTTGTCGTAGACTTATCAGTTTCTAAGAAGAAAGAGTTTTTTTGTTTTGTAGCCTATGCATTTACAGAGAGGAACTTTTCTTTGTGCTTGTGCAGCATCTCAGAAAAGACATCATTTCTTTTCATATCTGCACATATTCCACATGACAAATCAGAGAAAAGTAGAGCATCCCTGTGTGATAACCACATGATGAATACAAAGCTGCACATGTTTATGGTGTTATCGAAGAGTGAAACAGGGGTATATCACCAGCGCCATGCGTCCTGTATGAGAACAATCAGCCCACATGCGTCATGGTGTCTTGTTTGGAATATATTAGAATAATGTATCCTCTATGTAAATCTGAACACAGCATGCTTTGTACTATTTCTCTGTGTTTGTTTATGCTTAAACAGTCTGGTTTAAGCCATCGTTGGCATATTTAATTTGCATCTTATTTTTTTCTTATTCTACTCACATGTTCAGAATGTAGCTACTTTATTTACATTCACTGTTTGTTTCCACCACACATCACTATGAGAATACACAATATTGTATGTTCGTCCTTGGTGAATGAGTAATGTGGCAGCTATTCATTAAAAAAAAAAAAAAAAAAACATTTTCATATTACAATCCCATATCAACAAAACGGATCCCACATTATCTTATGACGGATAATGTGTCATGATAGGCTCTTGCTTGTTTAGTTTTTTCCTGGTTTTGTAATTAAGTTGTATTTTTTGTGTATTTTCCTTGCGTTTCTGTTCCCTGTTGTTTCTGTTTCCCTGTGTTCATTCTTATGTTCCTCTCCTTTTTTACAGTTTGGTCTGTTTGGTCAGTTTTCAGTGTTTCCTGCTGTATTTATTTTGTAGTAATCGATCCTAGTGCATGAAGTCTGGTTTTACTTCCTTAGTTTTTCCTCCTTTGTTGATCACTCATGAGACTCATCTGTAACTTGTCAGTCTCACCTGTTGCTTGTTTGTGTGCATAGTCCCTGTCTTCTTGTCATTCTTTGTTGGTTCAGTGTCCATGCCTATCCATGCCTCATCAAGCCTACCTCTTGTCCTTGTGGTTTCCTCGTTCCTTTTTGTTTAGTTGGCTTTCTAGTTCCCTGGTGGCCTATTGGTTTATCTGGATTTGGACTTTTCTGTTGGACATTTCAAAACAAGTTTTTGTTGGACTTTCAAGGTTTAGTCTTTTGTTTAATAAAACATTTTGAGTTCTACATGTGGGTCTTCTCTTTTGTTTCTGTTTCAAATGAGACATAATGAAGTCTATCAGGAAATCCAACTACTCCCCATTATCATTAAATTCATGCAGTCCACGCTTCTCAGCACTCCATTATGTTGTTTAAATCAATAAGCTGACATTACGTGATGAGAGGCGGGTAATTAGGTAGACTATTGAGAGTATGTGGGTGGAGACAGAGTGTAAGAGCTGTAATGGAGCTAAATAGAGCAACAATGATGTGTTTAGAGAGTCACTCCCTACTGCAGGGAGACTGACTGACAACTATTCAACAATCCAACTATCACCTCTCCTTGTATTTTTCCACATTTTTTTAAATTTACATATGAATTCAATCCTGACCCAGTTGGCCTGTATAGTACTGTCATAATTCATCTATATTATTTTTTTAAGTATTTTTTGACTGTTTTTTGCCTTTATTGATAGGATAAATTGGAAATATGGGGAGATAGAGACAGATGAGGGAGGACATGCTGCTCATGGTCAGGGCCGGACTCGTACCCACGAGCGCTGTGGGGACCGTGGTCCCCATCCGTGGGGCACACTAGCCTGTGGCAGATGTTTTTTTTAAAAGGCAAGAAGCTTTTCTAGTGATGGTGCCAAGGCAAAGGGCATTACACACAGAAAAATATGGACCTCATTGCCTTAGATGATCTGTTCTCTGTTGTAGATGATGTGGGGTTTCGTGGGCTGATAGAGCACACTGAGCCCTGTTATGCTGAGCAGATGACATTTCTCAGACTGAGTTTACCAGAGCTGTTAAATGTTGTTGCAAGCCACGTTGAAATTGCATGATTACAATTATTCAGTATAAGGTTATACTGATATAACACTAATATATTGCAATGCCTTTACTTTAATAAGCTTAGACAGTCATAGCCATAAATTCAATGGTAGTACTAATTGGCATGATAATTTCTTCACAGCTGATCAGCTCTAAACCTGTTCACACCTGGCCTGATTATGCTGCTGCCTCTGGTGACTTGTGATTGACTCTCACTGCCTTGCTCAAGATGGTGATTAAGAGAAAATGATTTCAACAAAACATCATGCAGACCGCTGGCAGCACAGAGAAGTGAAAGGTGGACTATCATAATCTTGTGATCATAGGGCAGTCTCCTGATCAAGCCAAATATGTGGGGATGTCATGTTTGCATTGGAGCGATGTGACTTTTACATTATCATTGGAAAAGACTGTGGACATAAAAGCAGTCACAATATGTTGATGTTAACAGTTAGTGCCTTTGAAAAAAGTACTGACATTAGATTGAAAAATAAGCACACCGAACTGCAAACATACAGTAGTTGTCATGGTGTGATAATGGTGTGTGATGATTTCCGTGGGCTCATATAATTTTGTCTAGCCAGCCAATTTCAATCCAAATTACACCTGTGCCTAAAACTTTCAAAAGACTTAAAAGTAGTCATTCTCTCGCTCTTTGACATTATCCTTGAGCGGCAAACCGAACTACGTCTTTAAGCTCAGCTTCTATACCATTAGATTATGCTGTCCACTGACTGAACCACTACTTTTTCTTCAATATTACTGTTACATGTGATAAATGCTGATGTCCAGAAATTTGAACATTAGCTAGGGCCTATAGAAAATCAAAATGTGTGTTCTAGAGTTAAGTCAAGGCCACTGGTGCACAGTAAAACAGAAGTAACAATTATAAGAAAGTGAACTAACAATATATGAGCCTTTGTTTTTAACAGTTAGATCAAATAAAGCTGACTGAATTCTGGGTCTGATGAACCCCTCATCAAAATATCTAGTGTTGAAACTCTTAAAGTCCCACTCCGATATTTTTTTTTATAACTATTTAAATTGTTCTCAGTGGTCTTTAAATTGTGATTATTAAGTTTTTACCAAAAATTGCATTACCTGTTCATTTTCAAGGGCTTTTCTTCTGCAGAGCTCCAGTCGATCATTAGCAATTCACCTCTGAGATGTGGCCTCTGTTCTGCACACTCGTCTTCATGCTAACTTGCAGCCTAACATTGCCGGTGTCATAGAAGTAGCAGGTAACATAGGAGCTTTTTAGCTCTCGGACACTAATGTCTTTCAGGACACGATGAAAGCTAATGTCATAATTAGCTTTGCAATTCACTAATGCACATGTTTGTTCCGCAATCGTCCTCTGTATTTCTCCTCTCTATGCAGAATGTGGCGTGGAGTGGTTACGTATGAAATCTCACTGTTTCTGAACCTGCTGTTTGGGTCTGCCAGAGATTCACAGCGATTTGAATGAAGAAATACTCCGAAAGGCAATTTCACATTTAGTTTTCTCATTATATGTCCTCTAATATCAGAAAAAAAGCTGTATGAACGTGTAGACAACAAGAAAAACATGATTTACATCAGAGTGGGTCTTTAAACAAAGTAGTGAAAGCTTGTCCTTTAATAACCCTTGGATAGCTGCATTTTCCATGTCCCCTTCAGTGACAGTAATTTGGCGGACTTGGCTGGTGGCAATCTTTGGAGTGTTTGTGCGGGTGTGTGCATGCAGGCATGTGAGGCTGTGTGTTATGATTAACAGAGGTAGGTGATAGAGGTGAACCAGAATCTGCTCCTTCAGCAGACGTCTCACTTCACAAACAGAGGAAGAACCATCCTCCCTTGACTTCTCATATTTCTGTTTCTCATTTCCCCCTATCGCATGTTCTCCTCGTCCTCCCGACTTCTACTTTCCAAATCTCAAACCACTCAGAGGAAAACTGGCTTTCCCGAAGTGTAAAAATGTTCAATCAGTCCAAGTCTTTGGAGACTCACCTTTTCCTCTTCTTCTGTATTTCTTTTACCTCCTCAAGGGAGAAATGTCTGATCATCTTGTTTCCTGTCTGATTTGGCTCTCAGGATGTCAGCACAGTGGGCAAGAAATGGAGAAAGCAGATGAGGATCTGACAGGGACAGACTCCTGTCTTATGTAAGGATCAGTATTATAAAGATTGTCATTGATAATAATCACAACTAATATAGATACTCCCCTTAATATTATCTAGTTCATCAAATAAAGATTTTGTTATTTATTTATTTATTTATTTTTGGGGGGGGTATCAGGATTTCCACATTTACAACAAAAACACCAAATTTTGGCGTCCATACTACATGTATGCGAAGTTTCAAATCATGAGATAAACCTATTTTGTCATAACCCTAGAAAATAGTACAAGACAACTCTGTCATATATCATTGTTTGTACATCAGCCCATGACACCCAGGACAGAGTATTTCTTCTTTTAACATACAGAAAACAACAGATTTTCATCATGGCTGCTGTATTAAAATAAATCGTGGTGGAAATAAGATTCTGTTCCAATATAAAAAATCATCAACATTTGTCCTGAGGAGACATCTGTATCGGGAGAAAAGTTTTGGTTCAGCTGCCACAAGCAGATGGTCAGTACAGCTTTGAGCTCCTTTACGGTTTTGTTTTTGTCTGATATGCTGGAATCATGGCAGCGCTGCATCTGCAGGCAGGTGTCCAGCAGTGTGTGGAAGAACCTAGCCATGTCCAGATGAGAATCATAAAATCTGTGTGTGAGCATGAGGAGAGACAAAGATAGAGAGAGAGGGAAGGCACATGGGAAGAGGGCTTGGCCAGTACATACCATTCTCAGTGTCCCGTGGAGAATGCCAAGAGTGAGACCCTAAATCTTCAGCCATGCACTCCCCGGACTCCTGCATAAAAATGCTTCACTCATGCTGCTCGCTGTATGTTTTCTGTTAGCCTCGCATTGCTCTCATATTCATCCTCTTTACTATGGAAACAGACAACAGCATATTCCCCCACAAACACTGCATGCACACAAACACTTCTTACACAACCAAATGAGTTAATGCAGCTGGATGAGCAGAAGAGAGGAATGGTTTTATTTCAGTTTTATAGTTACATTTAATTTAAAACAAGTGTCATACTGTTATTTTGCACACAGTAGGGGCTGCCTTCCTGATTACCTTCCAGCCCAAAGTTGACAACAGTCAAGAAAACCATTAAACAGAGCCAACAAACAGTCCTGATAGTAAAACTAGAGTGATGTGGAGGTTCTGCTGAAATAACTCTTGGACAACTGGAAATAGACTCATATCAATCAAACAATCATAAAACTGGTATGGACCCAGACAGACAGAAAGCAGGAGTAGTTTTTGAAATGCATTCAGCCAGTTTTATGACATAAGTATCAACTGGGTATGAAAGGTATAAAGAATTATTAGTTTAAGATAACCTTTAAGGGAATTTTTTTCATCATACGAAATAAAAACATATATGCAAGGAATAATGAAGAGTGAGCAGATCATTACAGGTACCCCAACACTGCAATATCACAATGACTGCAGCACCTGGTTTAAGGTCTTCTACCTCAAACTTTAAAGGTTTGTGGGCACTTTCCTCTCACTAAGCCAGCCCTTTACCGCTGCCAAAGTCAATACTGTGGCTCCTGTTGTGTTTGCTTTGTCTCAGTCTTCTTGAATGTGTTAGAAGTCTCTTTCTTTCAGTGCCTTGTGTTTTTAACCTAACCCCTTGTTTCTGGGCTGTTTTACTCATCTCTTCTTACTTGGTTGGCGCCATCATCTGCAGATCTGGTGTCTTTAGGACTGGGTGATATGGGAAAAAGTTTATCATGGTATATATTTTTTCATATCACTTGATATCGATATGTATCATGATATAATAAATTAAATTTAACAGTGCTCATTGGTAGCATGTCTTTTGCAATACAATAAGCTAGTGCATCTGTGAGGTCCTTGTGTCTCTTTGGCATTTTGTTGTGAGGTGTTGCGTTGGAGAAAGTGGACTGAATGGTTGGTTGTTTCGGCTGCACAGGTGCCACGGGCTCCTTGCTCCGCTCAAGGTTTGTAACCTTTTGCATTGTGCATGCTCTGCCGCATGGCACTGCTACAAGTGGTGAGAAAGCTGCTGCCACAGTTTTTTGCTACTTGGTTCTAATTCAGCACATGATTGGTTCAGCATGAAGCGGACCCAGAGCAACTCCCCTTTTCATTGGCTATTAGTATAGTCTAACTAAACATGGCAGAATGCTGACTATTGAAAAGCATATTGACCATGTTTTATATTGATATTGAGGGAAATTAATTTACGATATACATCGTTATCCTTTTTATTGCCCAGCCCTCGGTGTCCTGCCCTTCATATCCAGTAAAAGAAACATCAAAAATTTGCTTCTTGTTGTTTACCAATTGAGAATGCAAAAGGAAGCCAACATTTTTGCCACAGTGTCAACAGGCAAAGGTAAGATGTGTCTGACTCTTTTCTGAGGACTCATTTGATTTGACCATCATGTTATCTCTGACAACGGCTACGGAAATAAATCACAGGCACAATAGGATTCAATTACATTACAGAGTCACTGGTGTAGGTCAGATGCATTGGTCATGTATGTTATAAAGGTATGAGTGAAAGTGGAGATGGCAAAAACCAAACCAACTAATGGAAACCAGGGGCATAAAGGTGGAAGCTATACTTAAATAAACTAAAGGCAGATGTCCTCACTTTCCCTCATGTCCTTCCTGGCTCTAAGTTGTTTGTGAAAAACCTTTAGGCATTCACTCTAGTTCTGTCAGGAGTGTGGTTCAAAAACTTTAAAGCCCAAAATGAAGCCAGATGTTCTGAATGATTTACCAGCCTGCCAGGTAATGGTGTGCATTTATCAACCATTAGTCTTTGTAAACTAACAGCTTGTTATGGTCCAGGGACGACACACAGCTCTCCGTACACCCTGAGGTAACAAATGCTAACAGGCTGCACTCACACCTGCACTAAACCTCACAAAAAAATGTTGGAGTCCGATGGAGACCGACTACTAATCACTGATATATTTGTTGTCTTACTTGTTTTTTAGCCTCTGCAACCTTTCAAAAGACAAAAGGCAGGTGAGGATCTGGAGGGAAGACAATTATGTAACTTCAAGTGTGAAAACTGGTCTGTGTTTGCAGGGTCCTCTGGCAGTATTATTGAGCTATTAGTGTGTGGTGTGGTGTTTTGTCTTTTCTTTTTGTTATTCCCACTCACGTCAAGATTTTCCCTTTAACAAACAAAGCCTCAAAAATTCTTCAAGTTTTGATACATGAACTAAGAGTCTCTTTGAGGTGAGGATGTGGCCAACGTTAAAGAATACATGCTTATCAAGAAGAGCCGAAATGCAAGAGGACTAAATGAAGCAAAGTCCTGTGTTCAGTGACAAACCCCCATCATTCATATAGAAGTGTTGGCAGAGGACTGGATGATGCTACTGTCTGTAAATTTCCTGTTTGAGTCTCTGGAGCTGACTTTAAAAAAAGGGGGCGAAATGGCTCCCAAGTGAAGCCAAAACTTTTAGAGCTCCCCTGGTCCCTGGCTGTAGCATGGGTCATAAAGTACATATCCGTCATTTTAACAGATGTGTAAAACTATAAAACCAAAATACACATCAAATGATTGCTCTCAAACACACTCTGTATTAGAGCAGTTACTTCTTATATTGCTAATTTATGTGCAAATGTTCATTTTCTAGAGTATACTTTCAGTTCGGCCTGACACGTCTCTGACAACCGTCTCTTCAAACAAATGAGTGTGTTCGTGTGTATCATATCTAAACTAACCACCCAGCTTGTCCTTCATGCATACCGTAAAAGTGCATTAGCTAAACATTCAAGACACACACCATCACCCCTCTGACAGCCACAAACATGAGGGACACAAACTGGTTTCTGTCCTCTTGCTGCATGATAGCGACTAACTGTGAAGAATACACACTTGCATGTTACACAAAAAAACACCCATTAGATGCTGTTTTTTCAGTGAAAAGATGTACAAAAGTTCATAAAAAAATAACACGATGTTGTGTGAAAGGAAGCCAACATAACAAACAGCCCTGTACCTCTGAGAGGAGTTATATAGCTGCTCTGTTTCCTCAAGTCAACTCTGTGTGTTTGTGTGTATACGAGTGCGTGTCTGTATCCTGGCACCCATATTGTGACCACAGTACATAAAAACACAAAAATGATGAGGGGGGACAACACACATTTGTCATGATCATTTGACAAACAGGCAGGAGCTAACTGCAATAAACTCCAGAGAAAGACAATCAATCATTTAAAATCATTAGCAACACTTTTGCCGCAATTGATTTTATAACCAGAAAGTTTGCCAAATGTTTCTAAAAGTTTAAGTATAGTAAGGTGTGACTAGATAATCTTATCAAACTATCATCAGCAATAAGACTGGCTTTAGAATCATATCCATTCAGGTTATTACCACTAATGTTTGTATTAGATCATATAGCACAGGCTAATGTTTTCAATGCTAAATGAAATATAGCTGGTGAAGCTGGGAAGCCCTGCCGTAAAGATTAATAAAGTTGAAAGGGATGAGATATTGTAATGTTGGTCTTTACTTAAAAATTAATCCTTTCATTAGCTGCGTTTACATGCAACATTTTCCTCATTACAATTGAAAATAATTGTATTGAGTGAATCGGATGCCAATTGATTAGCTCCTCCTCTCTACCTTCAAAGGTGTGAGTAGAGAAGAGGTGCACTTCTATTTCCGGCTTCTTCTCTACATCTGGAAAATGCATCAACATCGTGTTTTATCTATTTATTTTATCGTTTAGTTGTGTTTTGGTCATGACTTCTGGGTTTCGAGCATCATTATGTGACCATACGTACTTGGGCAGAACAAATAATCCAGTCTATCAACCGAATACGATCTAGTTGGCCATTTAAATCGGCGTAGACTACCTCCTACAATCTTTCTTGTGTTCTCTTTGAGTGAAAACAATAAATATGTAATTAAAACAAATCCTGCTCTCAAGTGCCCACAAACAAATTGGTGTTTATGAGGCCAGGAAAACACAACAAAGAGTGCCTCTCTGTTCCACCTCCCTCTCTGGCATGTTGACCTTGGCTGCTGTTACCGGGCAAATCTCAACAAAATAACAGAGAGAGTAAAAGATGTGACTGAAATGGAGAAAACAGATCTGAAAGTTGTTGCGTGTTATGTGAACAAAAGAGTTGCCTTGAAATGTGATGATATTGTTTAAGAATGATGAGAGGACCTTCACCATGGTTACCATGGCAGCAGTGAGGCAGGACCCCTCACGGATCCCCTACATCGTGTCTTTGTGGGATTAAAAGCCTTCAGTAGATCATTTTGAAAGCATGCTAGTATTCAGAATGCTTTGCAGAGATACAAATACAGCTTCATGATGTGTTACACAATCTGTTTAACCAGCTGTTTCTCTCCACTGTTACATTTCATGGTTTGATCAGAGTAAACAATGTTTACTGATACTGTGTCATTTTTTTCATTTCTACTTATTTGTATTTGCTATTATATCGGGGGGTTTTTTCTCTCTCATATCGCTCTGAATTCTTATGAAAAAGAAAACATGTCTTTGTATTATAATGACCATGACTACAGTACATTTGCATATGCTTTTATTGTTTTTAATATCACAGTATGCATACTCAACATCTCGGAATCCTATTAACTCTGATGCAAAAACACCATTTGTCTCTGTCTGGTTTGTATTTTTCATGTCAAAGACATTTTAAGGACTTACAGCCATGAGGGTTCACAGAAAAATGAGCCAGATGATTTGGACAGCAAGGACAGATCATTTGCACTGGCCTGAATCTTCCATCACTTCACTATCCAAAAACTTACTGATTCAAGTTTAACGAAACACTTTGTCTTGGCTCTACATAACACTGTTTCACCATAAAAGAGGATATGACTTTATCTTTCTGCTTCTTCATGAATAATCTTTCAGAGCACAGAAGAGAGCAAAGTAAGAAGAGTGGAAGACTGGGTTCATTTTACCCTGTTGGATGAGATACACATTAGATTTAGAAAAAAAAAACATAATTGGCTAATTCTGCTGAAGCTAAATAGACCATATGTGAGGAGGCACTTGGTGACAAAGCTTAAACTTACTGTGTGTGTGTGTGTGTGTGTGTGTGTGTGTGTGTGTGTGTGTGTGTGTGTGTGTGTGTGTGTGTGTGTGTGTGTGTGTGTGTGTGTAAGAGAGAGAGAGCGTGATAGAGAGAGAGACAGAAAAAGACACGAAGTGTGTGCATGCATTTGCTTCCTTACAGGGCTGGCTCATGACTCATCTGAGGTAGCATAATGACTAATTTTATATTGTACTGGAAGTAACCAGATTTATCTTATTCTCCCCAGAGAAGTTAAAACAGATGAGTTCTTGTTCATGTTGGCCACGTGTTTTCAGACTTTACGGGTCTTGTGCAAAAAGAGAAGAGGTGTAAAAGTTGACTGCAGAGGTCTTTTGTAGAGGCCTACAATTTAATATAGACACAGCCAAAAAATGGGAATGAGGCAGGCCTTAAAGGTTCTGGTAAACGGCTTCATCATGCCCACCTGTCAGTCATATTACTGTGCCCCTAATCATGCAAACTCTAAGCCTGATTTTGACCAAAACAGATAACCTATAAACCCCCATACAGTGTGTATGAATAAAGAAGTGCACATATGAATTTATGATATCAAGTTGGACGCCATAGAAAACACGTGGGGATTTCTTGGCTTTTGGAGACACCCTTAAATGGATGCTCAATGACTGCAGTACTGCAGCACATTCAGAAAAAATGTGTGATTGCATATAAGTGGATGGTATTATGATATTTGATTGCAATTTAATATTTAATCATCCACTTGCTTGGTTAATGAGAAACAGGCAGAAATAATGTATTTAAAACATACAAATATGAAAACTGTTATGAGGAGTTTTTTTAATGTCTGTGAAATAGGCTGAAATTAACAGTGATTCCTAAAAGTCAACAAGACCGTGAGAGACAAGATCATGAGGACAGTTGAGGAGATGAAGACAGAATGTCCAGAATTAAGTGAACATCCTCTTTAGGCTGCAGATGTTCAACAAGCAAGATGCTCAAAGGGAAATGTGCATGCCCTGTACTGGGTCCCTTTATGCCCTATAGAGAAAAAGTGGACCCCCCACTTACCACAGGATAATATGCACTCTGGGTTTGAGCAAACATTGCAAACTGCGATTGCAAATTTTTTGTGTGGTTGTATAACTGCACACCTCAGTGTGTTTAATTGTTTAAAATGCCTACAAGAGAAGCTTAAAATGAAGTGCTTACTTTTAATTTTCATGCTACATTCAAGTGAGGACCCTCTTAGATCTGCAGGCTACCAGAGTCCTGCAGGGAAGCAGCAGAAGCCCTTAATGGTGTTTACACTATCCCGAACGCTCTGCTACGTGTGGGGACTTTGAGTTTCAGTCCTTCACATGTGAGAAGACAGAATCTAAGAACAATGACAGACCCTGGACACAAGTAGAAAGAGTTTTTAAAGTTTTAAGTAAGTGCTTTTTAACACTTTCTAACCATTTGCTTCCACACAAATGTAAAAGGGGGTTTCTGTTTTGTTTCTATTTCAAAGTATGTTTTTCTTGTCTAGCATGAGGTCAATACAATGTGGGTTTAAACATGAATCTTCCTGCTTTATTCAAGGAAGCACATTATGCTGTTGGTTTATAAAAGGGATTTCAACTAGGTCCCTTGTGTGACTGTCTCGCCTCCTTCACCTCTGGTTGGCTTGAAAAGCTGGAAACGTCATCACACGCTCAAGCCAAATGGTCAGCACTTATGGCCAATCAGAGGCGAAGGAGGGCGGGACCTTCCCTTACCATTCTACAGCGTCCTGGGTGAAAGCGAGAAGACAAAAATGGAGTCTACTTCAACTTCATGTGATGGCAAACTGGTACTCCTTTTGCTTTCTCAAAAGAAAAAGAAACGTAGCACATGGTTGCCTCCAATATCACAAAAAAGAAGAGAACTTGGTGAGTTTCACTGCTTGGTTCAGGAGCTGAAACTGTACCATGGTCGCTTCAGAAGCTATTTTTGGATGTCTGTTGGACAATTTGAAGTTCTGCTGAAACAATTAGCTCCAAGTTTGAAGTGTCTAGACACTAGACACTAGTGTTGCAATGGCTTTCTGTCATGATAGCATGTACTGAGTCGGGGCCAGTACCAGATAAGCACATTAAACTATGGTAACAACCATTAGCTTACGTTAGCACAGATGAAAGTTAAAACAAAGACGTTTAGCAAACTGTTGAAGCACACAAAACATTGTCATATGAGAAATCTGATGCTATGACTCTCCACAAGTTATCCTTCAGGTTGTTATCTTTGTAATGTTTGTGTCTTTTATCAAAAAGCGCTCTGTTTTACAACACTTAAACAATCAGCCGGTCAGCCATGTCGGATATACCGGTGAATTAGTCGTCACAACAACACACAATCTGATTGGTCAGAAGTGGACACACAGTATGCAAAACTTTAGAAAAATCGACCATGATCCGAAAAAAATAAATGCTGCAATATCGCTGATGTAAACGCTTGTATTGACAGGATACAGGTTTGAAAAAAAATATTGACGTCCAAAATAATCGCACGACAAAAATGGTCCTGGTGTGAAAGGACCTTGAGACTCTAAAAAAGTTTTTTGTGACCAAAAAAATCCCTCGCAGCTCCCAAGTGAAAAGGGTTAATGTGCAACTTGTTAGTAACATGACTGTGTATAAAAAGGGCTCAAGAGAGGCAGAGTCTCTTAGGCTAAAAGATGTGAAGAGGTTCACCACTTTGTGAGGGATTGCAAAAGCATATAGGTCAATAATCTCAGAATAATGTTCCTGGGCATGACATTTCAAAGACTTCATGGATTTCATAAAGATTAGGGAATCTTTGTAAAAAAGGGACAAGGCTGAAAACCTTCTACTGGGTGGCTGTGAATTTCTGGCCCTCAGGAAGCACCGCAGAAAACATGACTTTGTTGTGGAGGTCATTGCATGGGCTCAAAATCATTTTCACAAACAACTGTCTGTGAGCACAATTCATCACTTTCTATAGAGCTTGCATATTAGATGCCCCATCTGCTGCACTTCCAATGCACAAGGCTATGTCTAATTTCAGTTTATCCATCACCTCTGTTAGCAAATCAACAAAATACAGTCCAGTAGACTCCTTGTACTTGACCACAGCAATAAGCCTCTCATTAACAGCATCAGTGACATATCTCAGAATGATTGAGCATTGATCCTGAGAGGTGATGTCCTGTGTTGTGTAAATCAATGGAGGACCATTGTAAACCTCAATATCTCTCACCCACTGCATACTACTGAATTAACTCCTTTTGGTTTCTACAAAGGACATTTAGAGCTTTTCCATGATACTAAATGTGAAGGGGTGGGGCTTTAGTACCTTTCTCTTCCTCACTCAGAAAAAATGGCTCCCATCAGTGCATGCACATTTTATGGGAAGAGGAAAAGTACTGAAGCCCCACTCCTTCACATTTGGTATCATTGAAAAGCTCTAAATGTCCTCTGTAGAAACCAAAAGGAGTTAATTCAGTAGTATGCAGTGGGTGGGAGATATTGAGGTTTACAATGGTCATCCACAGAGGACAATTTGAACTACTGGTAGTCAGAAGGTTAAGGATGGAGCCCTCTGTCCCTGCTTTGTGTTCTTTTTGTCCGTATTTCTGAATGTATCCTTGAAGTTGAAGAAGCATAAGTGAGCCTTAAACCCCTCTTGCCTAATATCTTCATTACACCCACTATACGCTCCAGAACCTGAAGTCTCTTTCTGACTTGGTTTCTGTTGGCAGACATCTGGCTGCCAGCCAGCAAACTCTTTATATTAGCTTTGCGAGCCTGTAGCATATAGGCTTCTGCACAATCATTGTGTGCCTTGCTGCCATTAGGCTTATCTATGCGCTGGCTCCAATGCTTCCAATCCTCCATTCCAGTAATACAGTGATTGCTGTCTGTGGACTTTGCAAAGGCCATGCAAACAAAGCAAAACAGTCCATGACGCTCTTCACAGCATGGCAGCCACTTTCAAATGGTGTCGTACTCACAGCTGGAAACTTTCTGCTAAATTGGGTTCTTCGTGGTTTGTTGAGGGTGATGATTTAAAATTATTTTAAGGGTCTCTGGGTCAGGACAAATGAAAAAAAAAAAAATAAGGGGGGCTCACTTGGCTGCTGGGGTCTCTGGGGAGATCATCTCCACAGGAAAGGCTGTGGTGGGCCTGCCGTCTATCACAAATCTGGACATGAAAAGTTGAGGAACAGGGCGGAGTAGGTTTGAACACTGTTGCTAACTCCTCAGTAAGGAAAGTAGTTAGAGGCTGTCGTAGAAGTTGCTAAAAGTTGCTAAATGACGTCACCTAATTTGCATAATTTCTGAGTCAAATCCACCACCGCCAACTCCAGATGGCCAGTCCACCACTGCACAATGGTAATCATGTTCCTGTCGTGATTTTCAAAAAAATCACGACAAAATTTGAGTGGCATCAAATTTATTATGAACATGTTTTTTCCAAGTTTGACATTGGATATATTTTTTATACTTTATCCCAACTGAATATGAGATTTAAATGACTTACAAATCTTGAAACTCTGTGTTGATCAACATTTTACAAAGTGTGCCAACTTTTGGGGGAATTTTTTGGGGTTGTTTGCAGTTGGATTGAATGTGCTTCAGTGTCCACCAGAAGGGATCTCATTTCCATTTTTAACATAATTGCCCAATCTGACAAAAACACATGCACTTCCTAAACCAGACTACCAACTGTTATTCATTATCTTATGCCAGGAGCTGTGCACTGAACAGTCTTAATTTTAAAAGTGACGCAAATAAAAAATTCAAAACAGTGTCTTTCCGCCCACAGGCTGCATCAGCTAAAGAACAACATATGTAGGCTCTTGGAGCTGCTAACATGAGGTGTTTGATGATTAAAAAAACACTTAAAAGAGTCAAGCCAATTGTCTGTTGTAGCCAACTGTTCCTATGTGGTTAAGTTGTGTATTATTATTTTAAATATTATTAGTGATGCATAAACCCACACATGGAGGACGCAAATACACAAAACATTGTGGTCACATAATTTACATGAAAGCCCTCCAGACATGTTCTGTAGACGAGTAATCATGCGTACAATGAATGAATAATTCTGCACACGCACAACCCCACTCATGAAGTGTAATGTCAGTTCACTGACTTAGATACAACTCCAATACTAAATAGAGATTGGTTGTGGAGAATATGTGGAAAAACCCCAGAGCAAGGAGAAAGCATCTATTCTCTGTCCTCTGTGGGGAAGCATTTCTGCAGAGGTTTAGATTAAATTCAAATCCTTAAGGGAAAACTAGGTGCATTGTAGGTTGTGTACAGTAATTGAAATGTCAGTGATGTGAAAATATTTGGACCTTGAGAAAAATAATGTTCACACTGCACACATTTCCGTCTGAACACTCACACACTCATCAGAGAGCCATCTGCTTTTGCCCCTCCTACATTTCAAATCATCAAACACTTAATATTGAAGACAACCTGAAACTGTCAAGCTTTAAAACAAAGGAAAAAAGAAAATCTGACACGGATTATATAAAAGTTTAGAAGAAAACCATTTCCATTTTTGTTTGTCCCAATGAGCATCCATGAGTGCTTCTATTAAGACTAAAAAAGTACATTTCTTACAGTAATATTATTTAGGAAGATGGAGTCTGACTAGCTGACCTAAGCCTGAATAATATGAGACAAACTGATTGGATTGTGCAGTAAAAATTTTTAGTAAGATACATGAACAATACTGAAGTGCATTTACAGTATGCTACATACTCACTGAACTGGCACAAATTAATTAGATGGATAGCTTTAGTTAAACTTTGTCTGCCCTATTTTCAATACATAGACAACACCTGGCTGGGCTGCCAAGTATGTTTTTATCTGTTCAAGTAATGAACACTTCTACTTTTATATTTATAAGATCACCATCAATGATCATTGTTGTTTAGCCTGTGTAACTCATCTGATAGCCTGCAATGGCCCACACATACTCTGCAGGTGATAAGAGACATAGAAAACAAGGCCCTATCTATGCCTTTCTGTTGATGTACTGAACTGGAAATTGAAAAAGTATTTGCTGATTCTTTCCAATCAGTGACATTCTTAAGAGCTTTTTATATGTCCACACCATAGACTGTATATACTATGGACAACTTGGTTCCATAGCACTGCGCAGTAACGATGCGCGCATTCGGCCGCGCAGTCGCCGTGATGACGCTCGGCTCAAACAGCATATTCCCCGGGAGAGCTACACAATCCCTAAACACCAATAGGCTGTATAAGGAGTCAATCACAGAAAACATGAACCCCCTAATAACTTTTAAAAGCAGAGCTGTACAGAAAAGGTGTTATATGATTGATACCTTTAAAATCAAATTAGGTGTAAGAAATTTTTAAAAATACAGAGTACACACCCTCTGTAGATAAACACAATCACACTTTCTTTGGATTATGAATGATAATTCTGGGAAATATTTATTTATTTTGCCTCTCCCATACACAGCAGATTAAATGTTGGTCCATATTTAGTGACTTTTTCTTGTATCACCATTAGACATCAAAAATAAATGTCTCATTATGGGTGCCCAGGAGTTTCACTTTTGTCACACTCCAAAGAAAACAGGTCTTGATATTTACGTGCACTGTACCAAAGTTTAACACTTTGATATTGTGTTAACACTAGTTAGAAGGCAGGGGCAGAAAGGCGAGAAAGACACAAAGTATTTCCATCAGGGAAAACATACAGCACATCAAAAGTGAAACTATTTTGAACATTAATGCAAACAAGTCTAAAGACTTCGGTGCAAAAATATTGAAAACAAATACAAAGCCATGCAACCCACTACAAATGTAAATACAAAACTGCAAACCTCCAAAAGCAAATGCAATTAAAAAATAATGCCTTGTGTTGGCTTTGCCTATGTCTTCCAACAACAGGAGATCTTCCTGGATACCTTTAGTAAATATCTTTCAAAGTTGGATTTGTAAAAGTTTACACTCCTGCAGGCCATCCAGCTTAAAAATACAAGCAGGGAAAGCATTTGCCAAACACATGGATTATTCATCTTCCTCAAAATGCAAATAAATAAAGCTTTAGCCTCATCCCTGTGTTTTTGTGTCCAAGTTTGTTTTCCCTTCCAGGGCAGTCATGTTAAACTGATCTGCATGCTGACTGCTGCCAAAGGCTGATAGATAAAGTGTCAATGTCATTTCAGCTTTACATAAGTGCAGACTAATGGCCTTTTAGGGTTTTTGTTTGGAAACAGAGCAACAGTGATGAGACAGAGGCTCCAACCAACTTATTGAATCACTGCTAAATGACTAGCTGGATTGGGCTACTAGTCTGCCCTTGATGGTCTCTGCAAATAATGTGTTTATGTCTTACTCTGTCTTTGACAAAACCCTCATTATTGAAAGAAATATTTGGCAGTTTTAGCAGTCATAAATCAGCCACTATCATCCAATTCAATCAAGTACAGTAATGAAGTAGCAACAGTATCCAGCAGTCCATTTTTGCAGAGCCGAAGTAAGGTTGGGCGGTATCCAAATTTTGATACCATCATACCGTCTTCACACTTTACCGCAGTGTACAGTATTACCGTGACTAATTAAAAATTATGACTTAAGGCTCAGACAGCGTCATCAAACTGTTGGCTTGTGCCTACACCGTTCACAAACCGAATACCAAACACTAACAATGAAACAAAGAGACCATTTCCCTCTTTAAGTATGTTGTCACTGCATCAGTGCAGGTTTTACAACAGACACAGTCCCTTTTGTACTTATTTGGTTTCCCGAAGCTCCCCATTATTGTCGGCTGTGTTTAAGTGGCGGTGGACTGAGTTGTTGTTGGTCCTGATTCTGTATCAGTGGGAGGCGTTGAAGCTGCTGCACTGAGTGAACTCAGGGCCAAATGCATCCTCACAGCAGCGAGTGGGTCGTTGATTCGTAGATGCATCTTTCGGTTTTAAGTGTTTTCATCTCTTGTGGTCACCTTTTTATTACTATTTACTTGTACTTATTACTATATTTCTGAAAAAAACTCTGTTTGGCTTGCTCTGTCTTACTTCAATCTCTTACTCTCCCTTTCTCCCTCGCCCCTGTCAAAGTTGCAGTTTTGGTGGAACCATTCAAGATTACCGTAATATATACCAAACATCATATATTGACAGAAAGCACAGATACTCAGCTGTCTGTCAGAGATGGAATTTTTCCGATTGAGCAAAATTTCAAGGAGTTACGGTATTGAGAAGCTGTGTAGCGCTCTGCCAATACTTCCTGTGTTTTGCAATGACTGCATACCTCATTTGGTTACGACTACTGTAGTAAATCCTATATATAGGCGCATGCCTAAAACTCTCAGCTTTCTAACACATTTGAAATTTTTCTGATTGGATAAACTTTGACGGAGTTAAGGTAATAACAACCCGGGCATACAAAACATAGCACCATTGCTATGACTGATACTGTTGCTTTTAAAAGACACTGTTGGTATACCTTAATACCTTATCACCACCCCACCCTAAGCCAGAGCTTGACAACAGACAAGGCAGGCAGTTGCTTGGGGCCCCAGGCCACTCAGGAGCCCCCAAGGGCTGACGAACATTACTCCACAAAAATGTCATAAAATATTGCAACCACACTAAACAACTAGTGGTCAAATTGCAATGACACCTTAAACAGCGGTAAGTGGAGCAGATAGTGAAGTGTGGCAAACACTTTAACTAGCATTAGGTGTAAGGCTGGCTGTTAATTGTTTGCTAGTTAGTTAGCCGTCTTAGCGGAGCAGGAGACGTTAGCCTGGTGTTCCCGCTTCGTTGACTTGCTGTTAATGTGTGTTGACACACCCACACTGTCTTATAAGGTTAGCTGAGAGAGAGAAAGTGTGGTTGTAAGGTACAATACTGAAATTTCTCCAAAGTAACTGGAACACCGGTAATGGAGTGATTTGGGCTAACCAAGACAGCAGCTTTTACTGTTAACAAAATGCTATTAATGATAATTGTGCCTAACTAGCCTAACTCTTACACTATTGATACTTTGAAATTAGGATCTAAATTTAGACAGTGTGCTGTCTGCATAAAAGACAATCAGTTTTGGAGCATATAACATACTGAAGTAAGTCTCAGACACCAAGTCTAAGAACAAGGGTGAGGTGCTGGCTATTGTGGTAAAAACATACCAGAGCTGTAGCTATTTTAGAGTGGAATTTTAAATTTATGTAGTAATAATGATAAATGTTTTTAAAAAGTTTATGTTTCTGACCTTTTTTGTTGGTTTCAGATAATTTATATGTTAAACGCTTGTCAGAGGGGCCCCTTGAGAATTTTTGCTTGGGGCCCCAGCACACTCTAGATTGGGCTCTGCATGTTTGAATACTAATCTTACAGTAAAGGACAAAATAACAAATTACTTCATGTAGTCACCAGTCCACTCAAAGCTTTTACATTACATGTCACATTAACTCATGCACTGCACCGATTCATACACTGATGGCAGGAGACGCTTCAGTGCCCATCAGTATTAACTACTCTCATTCATACATGGTTATTCACAAAGCACTCACTTTCCCACTGGGAGTAATCTGGGGCTCAGTGAACCACAGCTGCCCTGACAGCATTCTTTGTGAGACTCATCTGTTTCATAGAGACATAGTCCATGTAACCTGAGTGTCAGAGCTGGTATGTTGTATCATCCCTTCAATAATCCCCCTGTACAGCTTGCACTTGCCCCAGCCTCATCTCACAGTTCATTATTCATGGAGCTGAGTCTGCTCTGTAGAGACTCACAAACCTGCTTCTACACACAGATATTATCAACAGTCTTAGCGTGACTTTGCAGAATTGTCTGACTGTATGACCTAAAAATTGTGTCAAATGCCAGACTGAGTTGAAAAAAGTAGAAGTTTGCGTGTGTGCAAGCAGGTCAGAGCTTTGATTTGCAACCACAAACTACCCAGGAGTTTGCTGTGACAACACCACCAGTCAGGATAAATCAGAAACAGCCTCCCAACAGCTTAACGTTTACTGGAGTGTGTGTTTCCATACTGTTCTGCACACTTGAAACGACAAATTTTTGCTCCAATTTGACCCAATCTTTTCCTGAGCTGAGGCACAAATTGATATGCAAACACAGCAGGTTAAAGTGACAGGTCATCACAAGAGAGTAGTTGGTGACCGTTAAATTACACTTGTCTGAACGGTGCGATCAATACACAATAAAGCTGTCCGATACGCTTTTCTGCTCATCAATCTGTTATTTCTCACTCTTTTCCTGATACTCTATGTCCAATTACATGTAGTATTGATATTAAGTCCAAATCTGCACTCATGGGTATCCTGTAAATATCACACAGTGCTGACTTCAGTGGTGTCTGTGCTACAGAAAAGAAGCAAAAAAGGGTGAGAGAGAAGTGCTCCTGTAAGGGTATCTGCAGGCTTGAATGGCAGCACTCTCACTGGCAAGCTGGGATTTTTTTGTCTGTTTGTTTTCAGAGGCAAGTGAAGATCAATCTGTTAAAATTGAGAATTAAACTCGGACCAGGAATCTCTTGCAAGAACCAATAAGCACACCTCTCCAGATGTCAGTCAGAGTTGGCGCTCAGCTGTCAGTGTATGGAGCTGAGCTGAGCAGAGACATCAATTATCATCATGATGCCTGTGCAATTTTTCTAACCAGCCTCAGGCTCTTTCCGTCTCAAGATTAAGAGGCAAGAGAAAATGATGGGAAATCAATCCTAGTGACAAGAAGAGAGGGAAATGTGCATGAGACAGGTTGCTGCTGAGAACACACTCATGAACAAGCTGTGCACACAAATAAAAGTAGGAGGGAGTGACGGACATCAGGGAAGAGACGCTGACCTTCAATTAGCACAGGAGGGTTTCAGCGACAGAGCTTAACTGCTCCTGTTTTCATTCAGAGTAAAGATACAGTTTCAGTGTTTGGACTATCTGCTCTATCTGAAGGTTTTGATCACTTATAACATACAAGAACTTATAAGTCTGCATAAGAGAGATAAAAAATAACACAATGCCTCTTTTTCTTAAAGGGACATTCTGGTGTAAATTTAAGTTATGGTAAAACACACCGTAACACAGAGTTAGAAACCCCCCTTGGGAGATGAATTTTGCCGGCTGCTTGCTTCTCTGGTTATACCAACTTCAGCAACAACCATGCGATAGCAATACACAGCGATCTATGTCTCCATGCACAAACCTCAACTAAAAAGCCACTCTATAGCCACAAATAATGCTCAGAACAGCACCTAACTTCATCAACAGTACATATAGGGTCCCAGCCATAGCACTAGCCACCAAACATCTCATTATCTTTGCCTAATTTCTTTAGCAAAGAGACTAAACACAACTCACTTACTCTTCTCCAGCAGTGGAGTTTACTGAAATTTACGCTGGGATATCCATTTGTATGTTATATAGCATCCTTAAGCATGCTAGATAACATACAAATGAATTACTTTGGACTCACTGGCTCATCATTGCTCATTCTATAAATCAAAGTATTCAAATACAAATTGAGTGTATTATAGATAACAATCAAAAGTGACATGAGATCACAAATTTGCACCAGAAAGCAAAGTAGCAGTCTAAAAGATGACTATAGAGTTTGAGATTCTGCTTTAAAGCACCATAAATCTCTGAACAACATGCAGCTCTGCAACATGTACTCATTTGGTCTCTTTCCCCTTTGGGTTTACTACTTTTACACTTTGACTTATCAGCTGATGGTGTTTCAGAGGATCACATCTATACAAGACTGACAGATGTACGAGAGGGATAACGGGAATGAGCGATGACAATGAAAACAAAGAGTCTTGTTTTTACTCCTGTCAACGCTTTCTGGGATTCGTGATAAGTTTTAAGACTTTTGGAGTTAGAGGATTGTTTATCCTCACAGCTTGATGCCCAACATGTTGTGAGGAGGCTCACGGCTGCTTTAATGCCTCTGCTTGAGAGTGTCAAAATAGAAGTCCAAATGGTAGTAAGAATCCCCTCAGGTGTCCTGGGAAGAAAACAAATATTACTGTAGCACAATGGCATCACTACCCCTTCTTTAGGCTTTGCATATTAGGCATAGTTGAGGGCTTTTGGACTGGCCCTCATTGCTAAAAGCACAACTTTAAAAAATCTTAACTGAAGGCACTGAGAACCAGTTTAGTTTTTCTTTTAATTTCTTTTGTTAGAAAACCTCTTGTGCTCAAAGATCAGCTTTAAAAATCGCTTGATTTTCAACCTTTGGAGAAGTGACATTATTGGAAAAAATGAATGATGATAGAAGGACACCAAAGGAGATCTTAATAACTTTTCTGATCCAACTAGTTTAAGGCCCAGGGTTGATCAATTGGGGCTGAAGCAGGAACAAGCTCTTTGCACTACTTCACCTGACATGAGTCAGCTGATTTGAGGGTGGGATTGTTTACCAAGATGTGTCTGAGGGGGTATGACCAGCATGAGTTGTCCCAAAATGACCTCAGGAACGATTAAGGTTTGGAACAACATGACCTGTCGTTATTCAACAATCAATACCCTTGTTGTGTCTGTGGGAAATGTTTTAAGTCTGGGTGTATTTAACATGATTTATTGGTGAACCTAACCTGAGCACATGATCGTATGTAATGTGTGAGAGCCGCTGGTGTTCTGGTGCTCTTACCACATGGTAACCCATGCCCTACTCCTCTTTGCACTACATACCAGAATACACAAGACACCAAATAAAATCCACTTCCTCAAAGGCTGTGGTTTCTTCCTTTTTCCAATTCTCTGTTCTTATTGGGTCAAAGTTTACAAATCCAAAACAGCATCAGAACTGCTACACAAGACACAAATGTAGGTCTTCTATGTATTTAAGAAAAAACTGTAACAATCATCTAACGATCATGTTCTTTTGTTTTAATGTATAATCAAATCTGAGGACTGTAAAGCTCCAAGACCAGTTTGTGTTGATTTTGGCAACGAAATGATGCCTTTTGTCCCTTTGCTGATTGATGATGTACATATGTTAAGTCATCTTGGATCTGGTAGTCCCTGATGTTGCTCTAATGGTTTTTAAACAAACCGTTTTCCATTTTAATCATAAAAATTGGAGAACGAAAAAACAGTAATTCACTTTCTGTGATGTGGCTTTGAATAGAGATATAAGATCAAAATCAGGTGTGAAAATCTTGTGGTTCAAGCTTCAAGCTTCATTCACTTGTTTGTTGTGATCCTCGTTAGCACCTCGTTAGTGTGTGAAACCGTCTTGGTTTATTTCCTCCTTACTTTCTGGAGAAAAAAAATCTGCAGACTTTTGAAGTCATGTGTATCTCTCATTATGAATATTTAACATGGGAATTGTAAAAACAGGGCTTTTTCTTCAGTTGCTTGGCTGACACCTAACCCCTCCACCACTTTGAGGCATTTAAAGTTACAATATCTCCATTGAATGACTATAAACCATACTTCAAAAGCATAAAACCAATAAACTGTATGTAATACACATGCTTCTGTGCAGAATTAAATACAGAATTTCCCACACATCGATGGTGCCTGGGGATGGTATTTCTATACCACTAGATTGCATTTGTTGACCATGAATCACATTTTTGACCCTCTTTGATTGCCATCTAAGACCGATAAATTACTGACATGTACTTGCTCTGCACTCTTCAGTGGATGATTAGAGCTAGAAAGAATCCTTGAATTCAGCATGCCATGTCACATTGACCTTCTGATACTGTTGTTTTTGTTCTTTTATTCACATTGTTGCTGCTGATGTTATACCCCACTCTTTTGGTGTTGCTTCTTGTATTTTTCCAGTTTCTAGATCTCTTACAGCACATATCCTATATGATCTACTTCAAATATGATCAATGCACTGTAGTGTGTGCTTATTCTTCACTTTTCTCAGTTATTTTTATATTTATTTTTCAGTTTTAAGCCTCAGCAAATTCCTCCTCACCACAGAACTCTCTTAAGAGCAGATGCTTTGAGAATAACTTTAGCCTTCTTGTCTGAACTTGAAGGATTCTTGGAAACTGTTGTGATTAAAATAATTTTCTTGGAATAACTCTTAGAAGGTTGCTTTATTCATACTCACCTGACACACAATTTTTCGAAAAATGGCACTATAGATGCATTTATGCTGATCACTTCACGGGCAGCCATTATTTTCTGGCTTGCAATTGTCACAGCTCAACATGCCCATAGCAACTTACACCAACTGGTCTTATCATTCTCTAAATGGGAACTAATGCACCAGCTGAAAGCTTTGTGAGATGGATCAACCTGATGAAAAACATGGAATTTGGCCAAATCCATTCCTTTAATATGCACGCAAATCTTGGCTTATCTTTGCAGTAAGACTTTATTTACCCAACGCACCAAGCTGTAAACAACCAAATCTACAGAAACTGAGTTCTGAGGGGATCTGATACAGTCATCCATGCCCTTTCTGTAAATTTTTCAAAAGATGGACTTTGAACGAATCTGGAATACAACATGCAAATGTCTGGATATGTTCAACTTTTGCAACATATTTGTGATGGCCTCTTTGAGCCTCTGGCTCTTGAGCACTTGCTGTTGTGTTGCTTGACAGTGGTGCCTCTTCTGCCTCCTCTTCACGATGGTTGCGCAAGGTTAATGTCTTAAACCCAGGAAGTCCACAAACTCTCAAATTCAGCTGTCTGGCAGTGCTACTCCAAGGGGGCATAAAGCCACATTGAGTGAAGACAGACAAAATACTACCCCAAAACCCTAAAGCCCAAACACGTACTTTTGTATATCCACTTCGCCAATTTAAGAAAGACTGAAGAACGTTTTCTTCTGAAATTATACCTTTGAAACCCTTCATAATCAAAATAATATTCATGGGTCATGGTTATGTTTCACTTGATATTTAATCTAATTTAATGCGGTTTCAGCTGTGTTGATTCGGTCAGGTTGTGTGTCCAAACGCGTGCCAAACGCAGACCAGATCAGATATAGATCAGAATATATCTATATATATCTAAATGTATGTGCTGACTCAGATTATTAGTTGTTGATGATTATTTATTGCACTGAAATGTGCCTGACACCGTGGAAACCTGCCTGTGAGGCATCGGTGCCGATACGCCACCGGTCTACCAAAATACCACTAGACCAGCTGTGCTCCGCCTGCGCTGAAAGCTGACCAGGTTTGAATCGGCAAGCTTTCTACGCTGGTGGCGAGCACGAAAATGTCACTGCACCTGCTGATTCTGTCGACATCTCCTGAGTCTGAAGAGGGTCCCAGCACTGTGGAAGACTTCATGCATGATTACTGTCCCCAAGACAGCACACCCCAGGGAGCCCAACCACTTCAGACCTGTGGCGGCTCTGGAGAGGATCATGCTGAGGAACCTTCACCTCCTGGTGAGCTCTCATCTGGATCCTCTGCAGTTTGCGTACCAGCCGAACATCGGGGTGGACGACGCAGTCATCTACCTGCTGCAGAGGTCCATGGCTTACTTGGAGAACACCAGCAGCACTGTGAGGGTCATGTTTTTTGACTTCTCCAGTGCTTTCAACACCATCCAGCCTTCACTGCTCAAGGGGAAGCTCGAGAGGGCGGGAGTGGACTGTCACCTAGCTGCATGGACCGTGGACTACCTCACCGACTGACCACAGTTTGTGAGGCTTCAGAACTGTGTGTCGGACATGGTGGTCTGCAGCACAGGGGCTCCACAGGGGACAGTGCTCTCCCCCTTCCTCTTCACCCTGTACACCTTGGACTTCAGCTACAACTCTGGGAGCTGTCACCTCTAGAAGTTCTCTGATTACACAGCCATCATAGGATGTGTATCATCAGCGGATGAGCGGGAATACAGGACTGTCATCACTGACTTCGTCAACTGGTGTGACACAAACCACCCCAGCTAAATGCCAGTAAGACAAAGGAGAGAGTCGTGGATTTCCACAGGAGGAGGACACCTCAGACTGTTCCAGTGAACATCCAGGGTCTGGACATCGAGATGATGGAGTCCTACAGATTCCTGGGTGTCCATCTCAACAATAAACTGGACTGGTCAACCAATACAGACGTCCTGTACAAGAAGGGCGAAAGTCGTCTCCACCTGCTGAGGAGACTGAGGTCCTTTGGAGTGTGCAGGACTCTGCTCAGGACTTTATATGACTCTGTGGTAGCATCTGCACTTTTCTATGCAGTGGTCTGCTGGGGGGCAGGGAGCACCGAGAGGGACAGGAAGAGACTGAACAGACTGGTCAGGAGGGCCAGTTCTGTCCTGGACTGTTCTTTGGACTCTCTGGAGGAGGTGGGTGAGAGGAGGATGTTAACAAAGTTTGTATCCATCATGGACAATCCCTCTCACCCACTGCACCAGACTGTGGGGGTTTAAGCAGGTCCTTCAGCAGCAGACTGAGACTCCCACCTTGCAAGACGGAGCACTACCGCAGGTCATTCCTCCCTTCTGCAATAAGACTTTACAACAAACTGTAACAAAACTGGACTCACACCTTAATCTATTTAATATTCACTATTCATGTACAGTTATTTAACCATGACCATCCTGATACCTCATCATCTGTTGTTCATCTCCTTATTCATTCATTCATCCAGTACTTAAATTGTAATTTTTGTAATAATTGTAATTCTATATTATATATAGTTTTATTCTCTTCTCCCTTTTTCCTTCTCTAATTTTTTTCTTCATTGTAACATTTAAGTTCTTAAAATTACGATCTTTATTTTTATAACTGCATTTTTGCACTTTGTACATGTAGATTCTCATTCATCCAGGTCATGGTTATCTTGAAGAGTCCAGTTGCCTGCTTTAAGATTTTTGCACTTTCTTTGTCTGTGTTGCTGCTCTGGCAAAAAAAAGTACCCCATGGGGGATCAATAAAGGAATATTCTATTCTATTCAAAGAAGCTCCAACTCTGGAGCTAAAAAGCAAACTACTGTGTATGTTACACAATTGCTCAAGTTCTTGTTTGATGATAAGTGAATTAACATTGTCCTAGAAACTGAACAGAAAAGATTGAGAAAAGCATTGTTGGCAACTCAACAATTTACATTCAATTACAGCTGACATTGACCCAAACATCCAGATTAGTTTTTCCAAATTCCCTTTAAAACTAACTGAGATCCCTAAAATCTAAAGTCCATTTTTATTCAACATTCTTTTTTCAGCGCTAAATTTATTTTATTCTTGACTTGCAGGGTGGAAAGTTTTCACTACTGGACAGGCATCAGGATAAAATTCAACAGTCTCATGGTTAGATAATGACAGGAACTATTACAACAGACAAGCCTCATAACTTAAACATTAGTCTGGGTGGTTCAAAGACATTAAGGATATGTGATATCCTGGAGGCTTAAATTTGAAAGGTGTAATTGAAAAATGCTGTCTCTACAAGGACTACTGTCCTCTTCATCACACACACACACACACACACACACACACACACACACACACACACACACACACACAGCTTCAAAGAATGAGTGGGGATGTGCACACAAGGCTGTACAGCTCACAAGGCCATCAGCAGGGCGAAAAGCTTAGACGTGTCCTAAGTCATGTACGGGGTCAAGATAGAGCCATAAAAACTAATTATACCCCCCTGTGGGATTTGTGAAAGCATCAGGCAGTGAGTTAATTCATTACACAGTTTCTGTTGTCTTTTTATGACCACTAATTATTGAGTTGGTGAAGCAGCCAGTTGTTCAGTTGGGATTAATCTGTGTCTGGGGACAGCAGCAACAGTAGATCAGTGTTGATGGTCTGGACTTAACCAGAGTCAAGCAGACATCAGAGACAAACCCTGTCTGTTTTATCTCTCTCTGTGTCACTCTCCACTGTCCTGAGCTGTATCACATTGTCATTGGATCACATTATATATCAGCCCTTCATGTATGATGGATAAGCCTAGTGGCAGCAGCTTTACTTTGTGTTTCCCTAGGATGTCTTTGGTCCATTTTTCCCCTTCACTTACTGTGCTGTGAATGAAGCTGTCTTTTCTTGCTTTCAGGACTACTGGGCTCAGGAGTTGTGAATGGGTTGTTGTGCAAGTTAGGATCTGAATGGGGAGAGCAGGACCTAGACTATGAGGGCCAGTTTTTAGGGACTGGAGAGCGAGTTACCTGGATACTGAGACTGACAGAGAGTGATGCAGTCAGCATTAATGTGGCAATGCAGTGGACAGTTGGAGTGAAGAGGACGGAAGTAAGGAAGGAAGGAAAGGGGGGGGGGGGACGACGACACAGATCAATGATGGAATATCCGTCCATCATTTGATCTGTGCATGCTGAACTTCACATTCATGTCACAGCTGATGCTGCCAATGCCTGGTAGCCATCTTGCATTTCTGTAAGCACAGTTGAAAGCAAGTCCATCTGTAGCCTAGGCCTTAAAAAACACCATTGATTCGATTCCTAAGAATTGTTTGTCTACCTCCTTGACGATTCTGCTTATCAGTTTCTTTTACGTCTCTATGTGTGATGAAGTAGTACGCAAGAAGTGTGTTCAGCATGGCGTCAAGGCAAAAGCACTCCAGAGTTTGGCTGTATTTCACGTGAAATGATGATACTGAGGCTACTCGCAACACTTGCACAGCTTTAATTTCATTGAAGGGGGGAAATACTTACGATATGCTGAAAAAATTTTCCACCCAGCATGCAATTAATTTGCAGAAGTGTAACATGTTTGATGCGCTACTTAGCAAAGGAGGGACTGGTACAGGTAAAAGCAGGAGCAGAGCTAACGTCTCGGCGTCATCTGCTTTAAATGCTGAAGGTAACGTTTAACTCCTCCAGGTCCTGTCCGTTGTGCAAATGTTCGCACCACGTTAACCCCCTTTCACTCTGTTGTGGAGATCACTGAGTGGGCTAAAATCTCCTTCAAAAACTATTGTCTGCAGTTCCCCACTTATCCATAAATGCAGACTAAAACTGCACCATGCAAAGAAGAAACCATGTGTAAACATGATCCAGTCAATTTAAGTTTGTGCCCAAGCTGATTAGTGTAACTTTAAGCGATTTGCTCTACATGTGCTGTGAGTAAGCAGGAAAGGCATCAATAACAAAAAAAGTGCTGTAATGCGGTTTCAACAGCCTTTAGAAATGCAGAAAGTTTACCAGAGACAGGCTGAAAGCTAAAGCAATTAATAAAAAACACCCCTGAACTTGTGGCAACCTTTTTCAGCTAATAACACATTTAGATCCTGGCAGACAAATCCCTACCTGTCTTGTGAGATGTGGTCTCTGCAGATATTCACAATCTGATTGACAGATCTGATCAGTGCCAGGCACCAGGAGCAGGTAATTATTGGTCTTCTGTATCAGCTCTGAAAAACTCTGAAGAACTGGATGTGCAGATCACACACAGACTCCCGTACAGACAAAAATAAAATACTCTGAGTGGTATTTGCAGAGTAGAAAAAAGTCCAAATTTTACGCTTCAAGATAGAGTAAAAAAACAGTGAGAAAAGGACTTGGGCAATTTGGGAGTAAGCATTGCAGAAAGAGTAGGAGAACAATATGAGGAGATGATAAAATGAATGGAAAGGGAGGAAGAAGACGTACAGCAGAGCAACACAGAGAGCGTGTTAAACTCAGTCTCTTATCATACAGAGTGTAAGAAGGAAGGATTGTCTCCATTAATAGGAGGATTGGGGATGATAAGATTTTACAATGCAGGTCAGGCACACATTTGAAAAATCAAAGGTGGGGGGGGGGGGGGGGTAGTGATGTGAGGAATGAAGTGAAGGCGGCATGAATGCAATGAACTGATTCAGAGTTTCCAATTACACTGCCATTCAGAGAAACTCAAAGAGCAGCGTGAGGTTTATTTTCAATCATGTAGTCAGTAGCAGCAGCACACACAAGGGCACTGCAGCAATATGCACGAACATTATGGTATGCAGTTGTACAATCTCATCTGTTTGAGTGCTTTATGAATCCACGTGGGCATGCGTACGTCTGTGCACAGGGTTCAAGACTGATGTGCCCTTTGTGTTCTCATTATGTAGAGGAGCAGAGAACAAGTTTCTGGTCTGATAGTCTAGCTAAGGTTTAGAATAGGTGTCCTGTTGCAGGTTGTCAGTTATTAGAGGGACCACATTTGACCAATGATATACAGTAGTACTCACTGTTACCCCAAAACATTCCTTACATTCATTTCAATCACATTCAAAGTTATTCCTTGCAAGGGAAATCTGCATGCTGAGTGACCTCTTCTAGACTATTCTTAGCTTTATTCAACAAACAAGTTTTTCAAAAGTTCTCTCCTTCTCCGACTGAAGACAGACCTGGCCAAGTTCACAGTTTTACAAGTATTTACTGCTGTTTTCTTATTTCAGAAAACTAAATGTTTAAATGAATAATAAGAAAACAAGTACACATTTCTGGTTAATTCCACTGTAGCAAGCCAAAGTGAAGCCACTGTGTAACTTATTGTCCACTATTTAACAGAGACCTTCTTGAAACAGATGAACAGGTGCTTTAGATTACTTTGATGATATTAAGTTAGAGTTGTGTACTAAACAAACAGTTCACTACAGGGTTTAAAGACCCACTCAGATGAAAATCATGTTTTTCTTGTTGTCTACATGTTCATATAGAAATTTTTTTTCTGATGCTACAGGACATATTGTGAGAAAAATAAGTGCAAAATTGCACTTCTGAGATTTCCTATGTAGCAAATCCAAGCTTCGCCCCTGGAGCCTCGCTATGCAGGTCACACTCTGAGAAATAAGAGAAAACAATAGCAGAACAAGCATGTGCATTAGCAGATTGCAATGCTTGTAAGAAAGCTAATTATGATATTAACTTTCATCATGTCCCCAAAGACATTATAATGTCAGAGAGCTGAATAGCTTCTATGTAACCTGCTACTTCTACTACACTGGCAATGTTAAGCTGCAAGCTGGCATGAAGAGGAGTGTGCAGAGCAGCACTGTCTCCGCCCATGACTCAGGGGTGAATTACTAATGAGCTACTGAAGCTTTGCAGAAGAAAAGTCCTTGAAAATGACACAGGTAACATGATTTTGGCTAAAAACTTCATAATCACAATTTAATGACCACTGAGAACACTTGAAGTAGTGAAGAAAAAAAAAAAAAAGATCGGAGTGTTAATATACTTATGAACAGATGAGGAAGACATGCAGCCTGGTACGCTTTGCTATGTATCCTAGCACACTTTGGATAACTAAACAGCCATTTGCCACGCAAAATATGGGGTCAAAATTTACAATCATGACAGATTGAATCCAGGGAGTGATACTTATAACCCTCTGGATCATTTCCCACACAGTAGCGATATTATCTCTATTAACACAATGGCCGTCAGTAAATGCTCGTAATTAAAACAGCAAAGAAAAATAACACCTTTTTCCCCCACTCATGTTGTTAGGCTATAGCAAACATATAATTACAACAAATAAAAACTACAGTAAAATGTTTGGATGGACCTGTTAATCTGAAAACGAATAAACTAATCTGTATTCATGAATGTTGAAGCCTATTAAGGGATCTCTCTTTCTTCATCTCGGTGCAGCAGTGGGTTGGCAGGGATATGTCAGAGCACAGGATCATATTCATTTGTTTGTTTAAATGATTTTGAAAAATTACTTTTCCATCATATCACAGTGTTAGTTTTTTGTATTGTATTATTAGGTCACTGGGCAATTTGGACGAGACAAAAAAGCAGACCGGAAATTTAGATTAATACATTGAAGCCATAAAAGTATTTAGTAAGTATAAAAGTATTTTCATCTTTTTAATTCACTCTCCCTCTAAGAGTATTAAAAACACTAACAACAATAGGTCTTTGCTCAGGTGAATGTGAGTCATGTCATACACTGTATACAGTGTCTCACCCATAATAATAGCAGTTATTTTTGACTCGTGTGAAAATTTAACACTATTTATGCTGGTATATTTGTCAGACTTTAAGCCTTGTAATCTGCTGCTCTGAGGCCATTTTCTCTAAGAACTAGCCACAGAATTGTCTCATGTTGATGGCAACAGCACAGGTCTGGGGGGATGAATTAAAGCTATTTTCACTGACAGCTAAAGTGTGTCTGTTTGTTCAGGCAGGAGCAATCTGCTCCTAATGTGTCCTGAATATGAGAGGGTGTGTGCGATTTTATGTGCGTGTGTGTGAACACAGCATGCCTCACTAACCAGTCTGGGTCAATGTTGATTAAATAAACAATTGTGTTTATGAAGCAGACCTTTTTTTTTACTCACACACACGGAAAGTGGTACAACCATCCACAAGCTGCACTGTCACACTTCTTGGTTTCTGTCATTTTCAATGGGGAATCACATCATTTGACCTCGATAAATTTAATTCATAAAGAAACTTAGAAAAAGCGAAATGATTATATCTTAATAGCCGCTTGCCCCCACATACTCCAGTGTTTCCCTATTCACAGTTGTCAATGTTGAAAACTCTGATTACAGTTTATGTTAGACTATATCAACAGGGAACAGGGTGGAAATGTGAGTAATCTTGAGCTGAAAAAATGAAAGAGAAATATCTTCAATCCCAGAACTACCAAAGCAGTTATTTAGACTGTCTAAAGGTTGGAAGCTGTAGTACCTTGGTTTCAATAAAACCTGATCAACTTCATGCCCCTGATGTTTTTCTTTCAAATTTAATCAAATTATACTATGGAAAAGATGTCTAAATGCTTAACCTTGAATATACAAACATAGCTTTCTAGATCAGATTTATACATAATGTCATTTCATACTTTTTCAAAAAGGTCCGATTGATGCTTTTTTTTCAGTGGACCTTGAAGGGATATTCCAGTGTTAATTCAAGTTATGGTCAAACACACCATAACACTGAGTCAGACACCCCCTCGAGAGATGAATGTTGCTGACTGCTTGCTTCTCTTGTTATACCAACTTCAGTAACGACCGCACGATAGCAATACACAACGGTCTACATCTCCACGTGTAAACCTCAACCAAAAAGCCACTTTATAGCCACAAATAATGCTCAGAACAGCACCTAGCTTCATCAACAGTACATATAGGGCCCTAGCCATAGCTCTAGCCACCAAACATCTTTCAAGCTTTGCCTGGTTTCTTAAGCAAAGAGACTAAACACAACTCCCCTACTCTCCTCCAGCAGCTGCTCATCAGGAGCCCTGACAAGTCGATTACTGAGTGCAATGGAAATTTTATGATTTTTACTTCACGGAAATGCAATCAGACCGAGATGCTAAGGCAGAAAAACAACTGTGTCTGCAGTGCACAAACAAGATACACATGAACTCTGACTGCATTTCCATGAAGTAATAATCATAAATGTTCTTCCTTGAGCTGCGAAACTTCATTACACCTGGTGATCTACTTGCCAGGGCTCCCCCACAAACAAGCGGCTGCTAGAGGAGAGTCAAAATGTGTTAGCTGTGTTACATTAACTACAGTAATTGTGTTACTTGTGTTTTAGAGCCTTCATGGAAGGTCTTTATGGATGGAACAGCTTCAGAGTTCAGTGACAGCAAAGACATACAGCCAGCTTACGCTAGCCTTTGTATACAGTGGTGCCATCAGTGGAGTGGTGAGTACTAACAGCAACATTGTTACCCTGGTGACTACAAGGGTCCCACTGATAAAACAACCAAATACAAAACTTAGTTTTAAAGCATATTTGAAAGTAAGACTAAAAAAAATCTGATAATTAAAATAATTAAGTCTGAACCTAAATGTAACCCTTAAACTCACATGCTGTGTGGTTTGAGGTAAATTGTTTGATGAGTATCTGTAAATATGTTGCTACAGCTGCTGTCCATGGTTCTGATCATGGTTTGGATCTGGTTTTGATCACAGCTGCACCATAAGTCTCCACATGGTGACACTGACATATTGTCTGGAGTGGTTGTGTGTGTCTGTGTGAGTGTGAACTTTATAACTTCAATCACTACAGACACATCTCTGTTTTTTTTTAATCTGTTGAGTGAGTCATTGTCCACTCATTAAGTCTCTTCTGGCTCACACATATTCAGATTCATTTGACGTATGAAGTCGGTTTGAAGGCACTTTTATTGTATGCTTAAAGATCTGTGTGTGTCTGTGTGCATTTGTGATAGAGTGCAGGAGAGAGTGAGTAATGTGATGGTCCTTATGTAATCACTCACAATGTACCTCAGCCAACCCAAATGAATAAATAATGAAGAGATCAAATAGTGGAGTGTGCAAAAGCAAGTATGCATAATGCATGGATGAGTATCCTATATATAAACCCTTTTCTTTATCTGAACAAGTTCACCATCCAAACTTTGAAGTTTCTGCAGCAGATAGACACCATCCTATCAGTTTCATCTATGACCTCTTTTGTGTTCATAAGATCTTCTTTGCGCACAGGAAGTTGATGCTTCTCTTGTGTTTGTCCAGAGTCTGAGTCCTTGAATTTCTTCAGATTTAATATGATAGCCCCTGAGAATAGATTGTTATCAATTATTCATTTTTCTTTCTTAAAGATTTTTTATCCTTTCTGCGGTGTGTATTCTGATACCTCAGAGAGTAAAGCGTAAGTATGACTGTAGTTTACTCTGTATGCACAGAGGCATCCTGAACGTCTAAGATAGCCTCTCGCTTAATTTACAAACTTCAGAATGACAAGGTGAGAGTCTGCACTGTAACTGAATGTCACCTTTCTCTGAGGAGGAATGGAGTTTGCATGTTAGCTTAGGATAACAAGGAGTACAACAATGAAATATACAGCCCTCTTATTTATCACATTAAGTTCACACAAACTCATTAACTGCTTTTAAAATAAAATAAAAAACAGTCTGTTATCTTGTGTTATCAGTTCAAGTCCTAACAGCCTTTATTGTCCCTGTTCATTCACTGAATGTAATACAGTCTCATACCAGGGCAATCTGCATCTGTGTGTGTGATGCTCTAGTTGAAAGGAGAGTCATACTGGCGGTCAACATGTCGTGTGTGTTACAATCGATCTTCTCTGTAGCTCATGATGTCAACCATGATGGAAACATGGAGCTGAACACGCTCCCTGAGGTTATGAGCTCAGAGCTGAGGAGAGACAAGAGGAGCGAAGAAACAGCCGTCCACATTGGAGCTTCTCTTCATCTGTTTAAAAATTGATCTAAACTTAAGCTTGTGTCTTGAGACGGCAGAGCGCACATTTTAATTGGACTTTCAAGTTCAACAACAGCGACACTATTCACACACTTAAGTCTACTGTATATATACATTAGAGTGTGACTAAACATTTATTTCGTTGTTCCCTTCACTGTTAATTTTGTAAATTCAAATTTAAATTAAACTTAATTTATATGGCACTTTCCGTACAAGAATGTAGTGCCTTACAGAGGATAAAAACAACAATAAAACCCAACCTTTCCACACACACACCTATAGACCCACACACACACAAAGACACACACGCGCACATACACAAGCACACACAGAGCAAACTTTTAAGATATATTGCTAAAGAAACCTGACTTGACACCGAGACATTGTGTGAGGAAAGAGCTACCTTTGGGAGACACTGGAGATAAAAAGATAAAAATGGTAAAAAGAAAGAGTAAAACCTGATGAACTAAGACAAAAAGGTAATATAATAAAATCAACAAATAAGTATTAAAATACATAAAATAAACAAGAACTTCAATTAAAATAAACTGTGGCAATAAGAGAAATAAGAAAAGGCAATTAGTGAAAACCAGTGTTAACAAAAAAGTGGGCACTGATGAACTAATTTACAGAATAATTTTTGACTACATAAATAGTGAGCATACTCAACTAAATAAATGTCCTCTCATTAATGCTTTGACAAATAATTACAAGACATATTAACTCTGTTCAAGCAGATATCCAGTTACAGCACTATGAGTCTGATCTACTAAGATTACACATATTGAGCTCTAAATTGCATGTGCAAATGAAAAAATTACACATCATCTACTATGATCCTTTTCTCAGGTGATTACAGGTGCAAAAGTGGAGCAGACCGCCCTATTTAAATGAGGATTTTGCGTGCGCTACCCACTGTCACCATGGAGAGTTTGGGAAGGCAGAGTGGCTGTAAATGAAAAAATGAAGTTTAAAGCCACAGGGCTTTATTTACGTGTCAGCAGAGGAGGGTGGTAGACCCCGCGCACTGGTATTTTCGTCTGGCAGAGCCCGGCGTGCAGCCAGTTTGGACTGAGGCACACCGAGGTCCGCCAAACTGGGCATGGTGGCGTGGCAAGGAGAGGTGTCGACAGAATCAGCTGGCTGAATCAGTGTAAAGTGCGCTGAAAGCTCGCCGATTCAAACCCGCTCAGCTTTCAGTGCAGGCGGAGCGCAGCTGGTCTAGTGGAATTTTGGTAGACCGGCTGCGTATCGGCATACGTCACCGATGCCTCACCAGCAGGTTTCCACAGTGTCAGGCACATTCCAGTGCAATAAATAATCAACAACAACTATTAATCTGAGTCGGCACATACATTTAGATCTATAAAGATATATTCTGATCTATATCTGATCTGATGAGCGCGTTTGGCACGCGTTTGGACACACAACCTGACCGAATCAACACAGCTGAAACCGCATTAAATTAAATTAAATATCTAGTAAATAGACACACATGATGAAGTTAACAAGATATGTAATTTGTCTTGCTCCTTTTCTTTCTTCCTCTTCCTTCTCGCGCAGCTCGACCTGGACACGTCTCTGTGTCCTCTCTCCGTCCTGCTGCTGCAGCTGCTGAACAGATGTTTTATTTTAGTGATCAGATGAGTTATTTACTTTAAGCCTACATACGAATATTATAATATTCAGTTGGGTGAGCCAAAAGTATTTTATATGCCAACATCTATGAAAGAAAGAGCCAGGCCACGGAGCGCAATGCATCATTTACGCACAGATGGTTCTAATTTTAATGCCATTATTGGACTTAATGTTGTGATCTGTGTGCACAACCCATCTTTGTCACGTGAGGTTTGAATATGTGCAACTTTATGTGAGTATCTTTATTTGTGGAAAAGGGTGTTTGTCTTACTAGTGGGTCCAACATTACACACACCGAATCCCTCTGTGCTTATATAAGACAGTGTGGAGGACGCCCTCTGCAGCGCTTACAGCGACACTTGTTGAGGGGCTGCCTTCTGTCGCCATCGTGTGGCATTACTGTCTTCAATGTCAATGTCAATGTCACCTTTATTTATATAGCACATTTATAGGACAGGCCAGACAAAGTGCTTTACAGGAGAAAAACATAAAATAATTAAAGCTACAGGTATGGCAACATTAAAAGAGAAAAATACAATAACAACAATAAAAGGAAAGCGTACGCGAGTAAAAGCAAGTGACAACTCAACCAAAAGCTAGGGTAAACAGGTAGGTTTTAAGGTGCGTTTTGAAGGAGGTGAGGCTGGTTGCAGAACGCACAGACTGAGGCAGGGCATTCCACAGTGTGGGAGCAGCAACTGCGAATGCCCGATCCCCTCTGCTTTTAAGCTGGGTTCTCGGCACATCTAAGACCATCCGGTCAGCAGACCTCAGGGATCTGGCAGGTCGGTGCGCCTTGACAAGGTCAGATAAATATTCTGGGGCCAGCCCGTGCAAAGACTTAAAAGCAGATAAAAGAATCTTAAAATCAATCCTGAACTTGACTGGGAGCCAGTGAAGTGAGGAGAGCACCGGTGAGATGTGCTCCCGTTTCTTGGCTCCGGTCAGGAGATGAGCAGCAGCATTTTGTACAAGCTGTAGGCGGTTAATTTCAGTTTGGCTGATGCCAAAATACAGCGAGTTACAGTAGTCAAGGCGAGATGAGATAAACGCATGGATAACCTTTTCCAGATCTGGCCTCCTAAAATAAGGCTTGATTTTTGCCAGTAGCCGAAGCTGAAGAAAACTAGCCTTCACGACGGAGCTGATCTGCTTGTCCAGCTTAAGAGCCCCATCAACAATAACACCTAGGTTTCTGGCCTGGGAATCTATATAGGGTACTAAGGGGCCGAGGGAGCTGGCAAGGACCTGGACGGTGTCAGGGTTGCCAAAGAGGACAATCTCAGTTTTGTTTTCGTTCAATTTTAAAAAGTTCAGGTCCATCCATGTTTTAATATCCCTCATACAGTTTAACACAGCCTGAAGGGATTCCTTGGAGGGGGCTCTTAGCGGCAGGTACACCTGCACATCATCAGCAAAGCAATGGAAGTGAATGTCGTGCTTCCTAAATATTGACCCCAGGGGAAGCATGTAAAGGGAGAACAGCAGAGGGCCTAGAACTGACCCCTGAGGGACTCCACAGGTTAGAGGGGCCACTGAGGAGGAGTACTGCCCCAATTGTACACTGAAGGATCTGTCGGCAAGGTAGGATTTAAACCATTCTAGAGTGGGGCCTTTAATTCCTACAGTGTGCTCAAGGCGTGATAAGAGGATGGAGTGGTTCACCGTATCAAATGCTGCTGTAAGGTCCAGAAGCATTAAGAAGGAAAACCGCTTGTAACGTTACCTGCCACTTTTACTGCAGGGCAATATAAGGCTACAAGCTAGCTTGAAGAGGAGTGTGCAGAGCAGCGCTGTCTCCACCCACGACTCAGAGGTGAATTGCTAATGAGTTACTTGAGGTATGAAGAAGAAAAGCCCTTAAAAATGACACAGGTAACATGATTTTTGCTAAAAACCTCATTATCACAGTTTAAAGACCACTGAGAACACTTTAAGTAGAAAAAAAATAATCTTGCAGTGTGTCTCAATAATTTTGATTCATGGCCTTTATACAGCTTTATTTTCTGAATAAAAAAACAGCTACAAAACAAGATGCTTTTCATCATCTTGGCTGGTTTAAATCCATATATAGTAGAGGAATACGGCTTTTTCACAGGACTGGCATTTCACGTCTACGATAATAAAAAGGAAAAAAAAAGAACTAATTAATCCGGCTAATAATTCTGGCGCAAGGATGACAGCCATTTATGCCTTATAAACGTACATGTAAACTATATACACATGTAAATGGACATGAATAATCAGGGTGTCAGGTTGGTCATTAACAGAAACTTCGACTTTTTCCTCTTTGTTCTTGTTATTTTTTTTTCTTCCTAACTGACTAACGACCCTCTGAAAATGCAAATTTAAATTTGTATTTGGGTTTAAAAAAAAAAAAATCTTCCATCACACAAAACAATGTACTAACAAAACTGCACTGACGTTATTGCAGGCATTCAGTTCAACCCATCCGTGTCTGCATTGTCTTTCAGGAGCTACAAGTGTGCCTTTAGACCCCAAGTATTTAGCTAGTCTTATAGTGCAACATGCTTCATGTATGCTTTATGTTGTGCTTCTCTTTTGTGCGTCACGCTTCAATCTGCTCCCAACTTATTGTCCTTGGCTCCATTTATCGCCTTTATCTGACAGCTGACATGACAGCATAGTGCAGTCAGTGTTGTTTTTGAAAAAATGTCCTTCTGCTGTTTTTATATGAAGCACTGCCATTCCTACGTACTGCTCGTGTAGAAGAACCAAAGATGCTTGTTAGTGTTTCATTTAATTCAGACTGAGCTTGTATTGCATTTGTGAAAAACACACACCATATTTTTTTCTGTATGGACTCTTACATTCACTCTTACACTCTTACTTACAATGTCATTTAACAAATGAAAGCATACATTCGTTGTAGAAATGTAAAACATCTTCTAGGAGGTAGAGATAGTCCATTATATGAATGGAAAAGGGGTCAAAGGTGAGGGCTACTGGTGTCCTCCAACAACGGTCCCAAAGGCTGCAGCCGCAGTTCTGCTGAATGTGACACATTTGTTGAAGGCCCCCTTTGTGTCTGCTTAGTTTTAAAAAAGTAGGGTTTATCAGATTTTGAGCTTTACAGTAGTGACTGTATCAGGGGGTGGGTGGTTAATGTAAAAAGACAGTAGCTGACTGAGCTAGCTTTTCCTGTCTGAAGACCAGCACTAGGAATCAATACTCATTGTAACTGAGCAGCAGCCCAACCTGCATGGCTAAATCAAATCTCTGTCCTTGTTACCAATACAAAAGAGTGGTTTGGTTTCTGAGGGAAGTACAGGCAGGACATCGTACCTCTGCTCAAAGGGCAAGAGAAAAATACAAAGGAGGATGACGGGACACAGAAGTGTAGAGGGGACACTTTAGAAATTGGGCACAAACACAAGCACCTTTGTTTTTGTAAGAGAGGTACAATTGCAAAGCAGGGGATCCATGAGCACAATCTGGAAACCAGTATAGGTAAAGAGAGGGGCGCAAGCAAAGGCCAATCACATCAGCCTCTCTCATTCCCTTTAAAAGTAAAAGACAATTTTCAAATGGCCCAAGGATGAGAGCCCAGGTCAGCTTCTCTGTGGAAAATACCTCAGTGAAGGCGTAAAGTGCTGTGCTGAATACAAAATTCATCTGCCCTGAATGCAGAGAGCCTGAGAGTGACCGTTTGGAGGAGCATATCTTTTTTCATTGTCATATTCTGGCCATATGTTAACACTTGAAAAAGGAAAGAAATGGCTTACAATTAGGATGAATGATATGGATATTTTTGGGGAAACCTATGATAACCTGCTCCCAAAGGCTGATACAGATAACTTGATATTGCTCATTTTTGTGTTTTATCACATATAGAGGTAAGAAAGGCTAAGCTTTAGTGAACAACAAACATTCATATTCTGTAAGTATGATTCTAAGTACATGGGGTGAGGGCACACATACAGACTGCTAAGCTACTATTGTTTGCTCTTAGCATCTACACCTGCAGTGCACATACATCTTTGTGTGGTGAGAACCAAGGAGACTGAGGTTTTGTTCAATTAAGTTACTGTTTTTCCAAACAAGTTTCAGTAGCAGGGCTATTAAGAAATCATAACATTGAACTGCATAACAAATAAATGTCGCAACATTAGCCACTTGCATTCATTAGCAAAAATTATAAAATGTGTTTCTCCAGATTCTGAGACTGACTGTGTTGTATTATTTTTAGATTTTCTTTTTTCATAAATACAGTTATGTCATTATTATCGTGAGGTGGCAATCTGATATTATGATACCAAAGGCAGAAAACAGAATAGAAATTGTATAGTTGTATTGTTGAAATTCGTAACTTTTCAGAAAGTACTGAAAATACTCTCTGGTATACGCTCTTGTAATCTATCTGGCACAGGGGTGGGCAATTAATTTTTACATGGGGCCACAAGAGAAACCTTAACTGTGTTGGAGGGCCGAGCCAACAATAACTTCAACTTCAAATCAGGGGGGTTAACACATACAGAAAAGCAAGCCCAAATAAGCAACTGCTTGTGAAAAACAAGCCCAAAAAAGCTCACCCGCGACTCTCAAGTTTTACAAGTGTCTTCTGAGAGAAACAAGCCTAAAGTCTTTTATAAAAAGCCGACTAAGCAACTATAAGGCGTCTACGATTATTTTGCTGATGTTTAAACTTGTCTCTGTTCACTAATGCAGATCTAGGATGCACGCATGTGCGTCCAAAGGGAAATAAAACAACGGCAAGGTTTTCAAAATAAAAGCACTTATAGCATGTTGATGATTTGATTGACGGACCTCACGGAGGGCTGAGCAGGGACATCCAAGGGGCTGGATGTGGCCCTCAGGCCGTAAAATGCCCAGGTCTGATCTAGCACAATATATTTTGCAGAAGTCCACAAGTCTGTGGTCAAACTTTGGTTACTATCAGCAACCTTGCTGTCAATGTGTGCTAAGATCACACCATGCAGGGTGAGTAGAGAAAAAGTACAATACAGCTAGGATACTTGATGTTCATAATACACCACTGGTTGTAGAAATCCTTGCTAGATCAAAGGTGGGTGTCAAGAGCTGTGCATACTGTGATTTTGACACTAACTGCTTTGGCTTTGGGTTGTCCCTTGGAGACTTTATGTAGTTCCATTAACAACACTGGGGCACATTTATGCATCTTTTAAGGGGGCTATCATGCATTTTTTAATAGCTTTACATGCTTTTCAGATGTGGTTAAAAAGTGCTCTCACAGTGCTGTATTAAAATATAACTATATATTTTTTTTTTCTGACAGCATTTCATTGTGTAAACAACCAACTGTGTCATAATGTGTTGGCTTGTTCATAAGCAAATCAAAACAACATTTATCCCATGAGTTTGAATTTAATGATTAAGTTGGCCCTTTATCAGCCCAGTATTTTACACGCATTGTTGCAAATAAACTTAAAGGTGGGTTAGGCAGGATTCCATTAGAGAAGCATCTTTTTTTGTGGTGTATATACAAAAAAAACCTTTTGAGATTTGGGGATATAAGGATATTGCTGTGTTTTGTTATGTCTGTGTAGTCACCATTTTGAAATGTTTGAGCGGCCCAATCTTTCTGACTGTAAACAAAGCCATTCTCCACCTCCCCCAACCTGATTGGTTGTGAGGTGGACCCTGCTCCCTCATTTTGTGAGGCAAGCTCCACGTCCTCGACGTTCACGAGCCCAAACAAAGTTAACATGCTACAGTATTGTAAGGTAGAAACCAACAAGAAAGTACAAAAAATTGTCTGAATCCTCCTTTGGCCATGACTACCAACACAGGCAAGAAAATTAAGTAAATACCAGAGACTGCGGAATAAAAGGCGCTTTAAAAGGAGGTAGACCAGACAAGAGCGAAATAGCCGGGTCAACATCAGCATAAGCCATGGGTGACGCTTTGGGATCTTGGTGACCCTGTAACCTTTCTGCTGGACAGGTAAACCACTTTAACAAATTAAACCAAGTGTCTATAACAGAAGTGTTTCTTGTCAAATGAGACCTGCTGCGTGTTGTAGCGCCACTAAACTGTTTACCTCGGTCCTGGAGTATGTCACTTTATCCTAGTTGTAGCGCCACTAAACTGTTTACCTCAGGTCCTGGAGTATGTCACTTTATCCTAGTTGTAGAAGTCTTGCAAACATTGTGTTTGCTGGTAGTCTGTTGGCATCTACAGTAGCACCAATGCTTTTTACTTTCATGTTGACTGGGCCCCATTTGTCATTATCTGAAGTATTTATCTGCATTATATCTGGATTTAATTGGAACGAAACGAGCGAGCAGGAGTGTCTGTTTGTGGGCGGGGCTTGCTGGAGTAGAGACGGAGGGGAGAGGAGGAGCTGAGGGGAAAACTGGTTGGGAGGGGTAGTGTTAACATTCAAGATTTCTCCCAAAAACTGGCACTTCCTCAGATCCTGCCTACCCCACCTTTAAGCCATAGTTAAAAGGCAGGGTTTCCAGAAGTTAATACGTATGTTGATCTAGTAAGATTTTTCCTAATACAGTAGTTTAAGTCACAACATAATGTTTACAAGATTTAGATTTAGATCATTTGTCCCATATGTATCATCATAAATGTCCTTGGTGGCCACTGTGGGCTACAGTAAACTAACTGCTGATGACTGCAGGGCCACATTCAGCCCCTGAAGGCACATTACACAGTCTCTGGCTGCAGCTGCAGAGAGCTGCAATGGCTCTCCTCCTACTCCTGCAGATGTTGAATGTAAGCAGAAATAGAAGCAGCAGAGATCCTCCTGAATGTCTGCTGATTCTTCATGATTACCCAGTGCAGAGCGAACTTGTTGATCACAAGAAAACAAAAAATCAAGATTGCAGAAAAGACCAACTTTTCTGATGAGACGAAACAAAATATTTGCTCTTGTTTCAGACGAGGACGAAAAGCTGTAATCACATTTCAATACAAAATACATAAAGCAATTACAGCTACAGGACTTTAGGGAGCGCTTCACAACACTTCATCTGCACCTTGCTTCGCAGGATTAGCTATGAAAGTACCAGTGTAGCCCCACAATTAACAACCGCTTGTTCCAAGTCAGGATTTTTTTAGAAAAAAACATGAAGCAGGAATGAAAAGAAAGGCAGCAACCATCAGCAAACTTTAATGCACAATTTCCACACCATTTTTCTACCTGCAGTCTGTCACTCAAAAAATACAGTAATTTTCTGCCTTTGAGATTAGCATGAAAAAAGGTTAACATAACAGACAGCTGTAGTGAAGAAAAACATGTGACCACGATGAGTTTTAAAAAGGCTACAGATTGAGGTGAGAGCAGGGTATTTAAGTTCTCCTGACACTTCATCTTGATGAAACAAACATACGCACGCACGCGCACACACACACACACACACACACACACACACACACACACACACACACACACACACACACACACACACAAGGCCACTGGAGCACAAAGGTTGTGATCAGACTGATGTTGAGAGAGAACGTGTTGCTGTCAGATGATGACAGCTCCCACCTGAAACCCTCACATGATCGAATATATATGCGCCCTCAGGCAATAATAAAATACTTCAAGATCACAGGGAGAAGAAAACAGAATCAACTTCTCACATTCATGGAAAGTTGCCAAACAGCACTCCACTGAAGCAGAGATGTGAGCAGTGGACGGAGGAACATGAAAAACACTCGCTCTCACCTCCGCGTGCAGACCTCCTCTCGCGCCCCTGGCACCCCCACACTGCCCGCTGCTCATCTCCTGGTCCGGCCCATCACCCACGTACAGTCCACGGAGCTCAGCCGACACGCTGACCGTGTCAGGAGACAGAGATGCAAAATGCAAGGTGGAATAAGATCTCAAAAAAGAAAAACAAAATGAGGAAAGTAGTCTATAATTTGAGAGTAAGCCGAGACTTGACTTTTCAAATGGTTTCTTGTGCAGTTTGACTCCGTCCAGGCTCACTTTTCTATGTTTAGCTTTTATTAGATTAAAAAAAAAAAAACACTTTTCGAAGTTTAGTATCGCTCCTCCTGCAGTGCGTCGGACTGACAGAGAGTGGGTGTCCCGCTGTCGGTGTCCTGCTCTCCCTCCAAGTGTCTCCGTTTAGTGTACAGCAGTGTAGAAGATGAGTTCCGGTATAAAATTTCAAAATAAAATCTAAAGGGAAGTCTCTCTCTCTCTCTCTCTCTCTCTCTCTCTCTCTCTCTCTCACACACACATTAGCTTTGCTTAACTAAAGAAACTAAGAAGTTTAAATTAATTATTTGATTAAAAATTTTGAAATGTAAGAAAAAAGTGTATCTGTTGTTACAAAGGATGCATTTATGTGAAATCTATACATACATGTAATTGTAAAATGATGTGAATACAATAAAAATATTTTGGTTAATAAATTATCTATTTCTTTCCCTCTTCCAGAACTGTCCGTGGAGTCCTTACTTGCTAGTGAGGCAGTGCACCCTGAGTCAGTCTGTAGTTTTTTTCTTGTTGTTGACTTGTCTTCGTTTTCATACTTTGTATCAGCCTGGTAAGGTTTATGCCAGTTTGGAGGACATATCACAGGACCAGCAGTCTAAGGGGGAGGAGGACTTTGTTGTTGAGTGTGTTGTGGTCACTGCTTTTTAAATGAGTATGAAATTCAAAGCTCTCTTGTTAATTTTCATGAGAAGTGGATATTGTCCTTATTTTGCTCAGCATACATTATTCTGTTTTGTTTTTCATAGGACCTGGGAGGTGGACTTTCTCTTTTTTCTGACCAGTCATGCATAAGTTATTGTTAATGACACAAGAAAACCAGCTTTGTTGTAAAATAGCAAGGTTTTCAGCCTTTTGTCTTCAAAAACAAGATAAATAAATCAAGAAAACAAATAGGTCATTATCACAAGATAAGAGAGTGAATTAAAAGTATGCTTGTCATTTGAGGGCTTATTTAATTAAGTGAATAATGTAAGATCTTTTTAGCATTGTTTGTAGCAGGACCAAAAAATCTAAAAAGATTTTTGGTCCTCATGACTAATTCGGTTTTGTATGTTTTTGTGTCATGGAACTGACTTATTTTGAAAGGTAATTTTTCCAACTTCCTCCGAAATTGTATCTAAATGTGGTGCACCTTACACCAAAAGGTTCAGGCAGTACTCTTTACATGTGTATCAACCGCTGAACTTCGTGGTTCTTCTCTGCACTTGAGGCTACGATGGACACCTTACAGGAGGTTTTAAGCAGAAACTCCGGATGTTTTAAAACTTAATGTATTTTGATGATTGAAGAACAACCGTGGTGCCTGTGTGGGAAGAAGTTCCGAGGTGGGTGGAGGATGACCCTTAGGCAGGTGTAGGCTGGAGTCAGCAACAAGTAGGCAGGACTGAGGATAACGAGCACCGAAACACCAGCAACTAGAAAAAAAAAACAACCCTCTATATTAGCATATAGGTTTAAGTGAATGACAGGACTTTATCCAACATACATGTTCTTTTCCAACCTTCTAATCAACCCATTATTCCCCTCATTATTTTCTTAATATGCATTTGAGGAAAACTGTGGTTTAATATATGGTGAACAGGTAATTTTGCAAAATAGAGCCTGAATAGGGTGAGACAGGACTCTGACCTGAAAATCATTCTATTGGATCAAGATGGAATTAAAGATGGAAATAAATTGACTGTAAAGGTTTATTCCGGCAAAAAAATTAAGCTAAGGTCAAACACACCGTAACACTGAGTCAGACAACCTGTCGAGAGAGATGAATGTTGCCGACCACTTGCTTGTCTAGTTATACCAACGTTAGTAATGACCACAGATAGCAATACAGAGAGCCACGCACTTAACCAAAAAGCCACTCTATAGCCACAAATAATGCTCAGAGCAGCATCTAACTTCATTAACAGTACTTCTAGGGTCCCAGCCATATTACTAGCCACCAAACATCCTTTTAGCTTTGACTGATTTCTTTAGCAAAGAAACTAAACACAACTCACCCACTCTCTTCTGGCAGCTGGTTGTTTGTACGGAGACCTTCGGGCGAGTCCATCGCCTGCAGCGGGGGTACGCAGCTCATTTATGATCTGAGCATTATTTGTGGCTATAGAGTGGCTTTTTGGTTGATCGCGTGGCTCTTTGTATTACTATCAGCAGTGGTTACTAAAGTTGGTATAACTAGAATCCCCAAATCCCCAGTCAGGGAGGAGTCATTCTGTCATTCTGAAAAAAAAGTACTGCAAAAAAGCCCAAACAACTGCATGGATAGCAAAAACACAGATGACACAAAGCACAAGCACACAAAACACTTTGTTTGGTCCCTCATCCACAACCTGTTTGCCTTGGGTGACCCTACCAAGGGCATAGAGCCACTGGCGACTGAGCTCCTACTGGGACACACAAACCCCTCTACCATGAAAAGGTGGTAGCTCAAGGAGGAGAGCTACCACCTTTTCATGGTAGCTCATATGGTAAAAACTGATGGCGCTTGAAAGAGCTACACAGCTGCACCGAAACTGCAGATTGTGGACATTGCTGTGAGACTCCCCAGAAAGGCTGCATCTCTTGTACTTGTGCAACATTTGTACTGGATTTTACACATCTGAATGTTACTGTGTTTTTTTCAGCCGAACTAGAGGAGATGATGAGAAAAATGTTTACCCCTGCATATAATTTGATTCATTTAGAATATGCAGAAGTCTTTGTTCTGATTGAAAATGATGAAACAAGATTGTGTTAGTCAGGCGGGTTTAATCACTCTGACTGATTATGTCTGTATCCTGTAATTTTCAGTGTCAGATAATGTGCTGCATCCTCACTGGAACAAGATACTCTTTAAATGCTGAAGAAGGAAAAAAACACTGTTTTTCTATGCTTTTTTCTGGATCAAAACTTTGCCCACTGAAAAGAAAGAAGAGAAGGAATGAATACACTCCTCCTTTAAGCACAACTGTAGCACTATCATCCCACTTTGTATTTTTTCTGAAATTTCACCCATCCATGATGTTTGATCATTTTGGTTGTTACACCTCATCCACGAATGTAGACGTTTTCCACTGAAAAGTCAGATCACATCTCTGCACATTTTATGCTTAGGCTTTTTTTGTAAGTGAGGAGGTACTTTTGGAGTCATTTTAAGTTGAAAATTTTCCAGTGGGCTGATGAGGTTCAGAAAGATAAAGAGAGGGGTTGTATCAGAGATCTCACATGCTGATAAATCATAGAGACTCATGGAAAAAAAAGTGATATTGGAGACCCTGTTTGTTATCTATTCCCTGCACTCCCATGAGCTCTGGCTAAATGCCGGCATATCACAGGGTAACCAACCAACAAAAAAAAAGGATTAAAAAAATCATAAGTACGGAAGTTCAGGAATGTCAGTAATTAAATAAAGTCAATCAGTTAAATAAAAATGTACATTACCAAAGAAATTAGGATTCTTTGCATTGAAAATGGCAACTGACTGGGGCTGAATATACCAGTACTGACAATACTCATCAGTACAAACAAAGTAAAAAAAAATAAAGAAATACACATTGATATTGCTCTAAAATTAGATGTAGAGTAATACAGTGTGTGACTAATTGGTCCAACAGTGAGGTTTGTAGTAGTACTAAATGATCGTTGCCACCCATCATTCAACCAAGAGAAGTCAGAGAAGAGGAACCAGCAGCAGAACAAGACTCAGTAGCCAGCTGTAATTTTTGTTGTTGAAAATTTTGATGCCTAAAATCGCTGTGAGGGGCCTAGGTTTACACCAGATGATTGGCAGCTGACTGAAAAAAACCTTTGTTTAAAAAAAACAGGATGAATTTTTTGTTTGAAAATACTATTTTTATATGTACAGGACATGAGAGGTATACATTTGCCCACAGGGGGCGCCAAAACCATTACAAACCAAATGTTCCTCACAGCAGCTTTAATAAGAGGCGATAGTGACAGGGATCAAACATTAGCACTTAAAACAGATGATGCCATACTGTATAAGCAAGATGGATGCATTAATTGTTTTCTTAACTAAATTTGACTAAAAGTAAGAATATTGCAAAAATCTCTTTATCAGTATTTATTTTGGCTGCAATACCTGAGAAGTGATAACCTGACATCCTGACAGACCATTACTGACTGATGAAAATGTTTGTGAAATGCTTTTAAGTGTACACACACACACGCACGCACGCACACACACACACACACACACACACACACACACACACACACACACACACACACACACACACACACACACACACACTCAATTGAATATAGGTGGGAAAGGATTTGCAAATCATTGTTTTCTCTTTTTAATTACATTTCACACAGTGTCCAATCTTCATTTGTGCTTGAAAAAGCCAAGACAGGGAATGGTGCATTTACCCTCACAATAATATCAGTCCCGATTTCTAATAACCATTTTTATTTCACTCTGTTTTTAGACAAATGTGTTTTGCTAATCTTTTTTATATATATCATGCATATTTAATTTTCAATTGTTTTAATATTTATAAATACTCCAGTCCCTTATGGCTTTCTATTCTTACATAATCAACCTAACTGAGCCACAGTGTGTTGCCTTATTAGTCAGAGAGATTTTCCCCTCAGTTAGCAGCATTATCTGATCATCAGTAAAATGAGTCTAATTAAAGTCTTAATGATGTTAGCAGGAAAGGTTGTGGCTGTACTGTAAAGTACAATGTTTCCAATTTAAAAATGTGATCATAATACTGTCTTCACTTTGATTCTTACCACAGAATAATTCAAGTATATTTTAATGTGGACTGTTTCTGTTTAATTTTCATATTTTCTCTTTCAACCAGGGATAGTTTAAGTGTTCCTGAAAACAGGGTAGATACAGGGTGTTCAAAATTCATTGTGGCGGTGGTTTGTCATTCACAGATAGTCATATTCTTATGCATGACCTGCCTTGTCTTCATTGTATTGTCTCTATTACACAATTTTTAGGTACTAACAAATCTTAAAGTAAGGGTAGTCTGGAT